CCACCAATCCAACTTTCCCCCAATTTTAAAAGGTCCGAAAATAACCCTACCCATTTCTAATTTTCGGATTTCAAGCTCAAAATCTTCCAAAAAATGGCACCAAGGAAGAACAAAGGGCAGAGCTCCAACGCTATGGCACCCATCCCAGGCTACGAGGACCTCATCTTCGCCGACAATGAACACCGAGCTCGGTTCATCACTACAATTGCAAGGCAAGTAAAACCTTCCCGTTTTTTATGCCATGATGCTCTCCGTGAATTAGGAGTGTATAAGACCACTAGGAAATTTTTTCATGAGTTGAGCATAGATCGTATATTCAAAATGAAATACAACTCTAACGAAAAAATTATCTATGAATTCATGAGTTCGGTGCAATTTGAGACCGATGAAGCTGACTTTAGGGATGATAGACTCAAGTTTCGTCTATTTAACCAAAACCATTCAATAACGAAACTTGAGTTCGCCGAACACTTTGGCATTCCGGTTCCCTACCAAAAATCCATATCCGATAACACTGCTTTCGGCCATTCACTGTGGACAAAGATGACCGGGGAAGTAAAATTTAGCTCCTCCCAACTGTATATTAGTCATGTCCAACACCCCGTCCTCCAATTATTCTTGAAATTTCTTGCAAATTGCTTGCTTGGACGTCCCAACAACCATCACACTAGGATGGTGGATGTATGCTTGATGTTTGTAGCTCTATTCCGTGTTCATGTGAACTTTAATCTGTGCAATCTTATGTGGGCACATCTGAAAAAGGAAAGCACAGTCAGGGGGTCCATTGTTGTGGGTGGGGTGATTATGCACTTAGCCACCAAGTTCGGGTATACGGATGCATAGCCTTTTCCCATACTGTTTATGGTGGTGAACAACCAAAAAACATGTATAACTGGCTCATACACCCCAAGCCTCTCAAATACTTCCTCCTACCTAACCAAGAACTTCCCAAACTCCTCTACAAAGAAGAGGTAGAGGTACCCCACTACCTATTTCCACACGCTCTTCCACCACATTTCCAAGAACCTCAAGAAGACCATCTCGAAAACGTGCCGTATGCCGAACCCCACGACCATGTAGACATGGACATCCCCGAGCAGCACTAAGACCCCCCTCCACCCAATTATTTCCAACAAATCTTGGAGGGGCAACAACAAATAATTGCCGGGTACAATCAAATGAACACCAATTATATCAACACGGGAGACCGGCTAAACCAAGTGCGAGAGGAGCAAAGGGCAGGTTTTCAATGGATGGAGGAGCTCCGGGAAGCCGACATGCATCGGTATGAAGAAGATCAACGTAGGTTCTACGGACATGTGTACTCTTACATGGCCCAGCAGGGATCTTTTCAGACCATGGCGAATCCCCCTCCACCACCCTCGTGGTATGACCCCACTCATTGGGGTAACTTTGGAGGATCTAGCTCCGGGGGTGGAGGGTACGATGGCGGAGATGGCGGGCACACATACATGGAAGATGGCGGGCAGGGGAGCGGCTTCGGAGGCATCTTCTATGGCGGCGAAGGCGGGCACTAGGGACGGTGCTTGGACCAAGTGTGGGGGAGATACTCATCATGGTATGTAATTTTTAATACCTTTCACTAAGCATGAATTTCTTTTACCCTTTTTTTTGCACATAAAAAAAGAATAAATAAAATAAAAGAAATGCTAGTTAGGTTGAAAACCCAACAAAATGGGCAATCTAAGCAAAAAAAGGCTTATAAAAAAATGAGTGAGTTGGGGAGAATGGAAAATGAAAAGAGATGCTAGGATGAAAACCTGAAAAGGCTCCTAGGCAAAATGAGAGATATGAGAGAAATATTTGTTTTTGCAGGCACTCATTTAATCTCTTTGGAGGAAAAGAAGAGTCAAGAAGAAGAAGAAGAAGAAGAGAGGAGGAGAAGAGAAGATGAGCACAAGAAAGCCATAAAACCCAAGATGATATTTGTAAATTGAGCTTAAAACTCATATTTTATCCTTGGTGGTCTTTGTGTTTTTATCTTGTAAAATTGTTGAAACTTTGGAAGACTTAAACACTTGTGAACATTTGACTTACTCGAAGACGAGTAAAGAAACTAAGTGCGGGGGAGTTGATAATCATGTAATTTCCATGTGTATGGTTGTATTTTTAATTAGTTTTGAGTGATTTTTACTTTGGAAATTACACACTTTTGGTGTAATAGTTTAGTTTGTTAAATTCTTGTAAATTGTTTATATTAGGTTTATTCTGAGCTCAAACAGGTTTTGATCAACTGAAAGGACAGTTGGTGAACCCCAAAAGTGGAAGGAAGGTGCAAAATCAAAAGAAAAAAGATCCTGATTTTTTGGTCTATACCCGGTCGAGTATGACCTATACTGGATCGGGTATCTTGTTAAAATTTCAAATCGGATCAGATCCGAAGACAAAGGATCATGCAGAGAAGATTCGGACCACGATCGAGTGTCCATACTCGATCGGGTACACCGACACACCCGATCGGGTATCTTTTCAAATACAAACCTGAATTCGGTCGAGTATGCCCCGGATTTGAAGTTATAAGCATACTCGACCGGGTACAAACGTATACTCGATCGGGTATGCTTATGAAATTTTCCCTTTGATCGATCGAGTATACCTCGAATTTTAGGTAATACACATACCCGATCGGGTACCCGAGCTGCATCTCAAAAAACCTATAAATACACCCCCTTTCCTTCACAATTAGATATCCAATTCCTTTATACTTCCAAGCTCAGTCTAGAATAGTTCTTTCTTTATATTTTCTTCATGTTTAGTCTCCAAATGAGGAGCTAAACTCTTCTATCTTGGTTTTGCTACTTTGAAGCTTAATGAATTTGTAAGTCGTGAGTTATTTTCTTTAATCTTCTTCCTTGAATATTAATTCTCCCTTTAAAATACTATTTCTATATCAAAGTTGGGGAGTGTTACTAAGATGACAATTAGTTAACATCTTGACATCGGTTATAGTAATAGTTATTTCTTCCTCTATGTTAATATTGGGGAGTGTTACTAAGATGACAATTAGTTAACATCTTGATATTAACTATAGTAGGATTCATATTCTTTAATATTCTTCCTTGAGTATTAATTAATTCTCATTCATATTTCATGTTAATATTTTGAACATTACTTAAAGGATTAACTAGTTTTGTTTCATATATTAATTATTACTAGAATTAATCGATTAATACGCTTGTTATTAATTTGATTCATTCAACAGTAGTAAACTTGGATCATTAATGCATGCATCTCATGATTAATACACCAAGGGGAATTAATTATATTGATTAAACCAATAAACCGCTTGTGTTGAGGTTATCAATCTCAATCGTTTTCATCTTAAGCTTATTGCTACTATCGAATTAATATACGGCGTTTGTTCTATGTTGACTCGATAGTAAGTTTTATTAATGAACGCTTCTCGTTATTAATAACTACTCTCGATGAACTGGATATACTCCTCGATTGAGTATTCGAGAGGAAGATAGTTAAAGATATAACCGGGATCGACGAACATTTCATTAAGTGAATAAAAGCAAAACCAAGACCTCATCTCTATTAATTACAACCACATAAGTCGTTCATCTTAGTGTTAATTAAATCAAACTCAAAACCCCCCCTTTCATTACTGTTATTATAAAAGATAAATATTCCTTTCCATGTGGATACAAACCTTACTTCGTTATACTACGTATATTCGTTGTATTGTATTTATTTTGAGTGCATCTTACGACAAGTGCACGTCAATGCTAATGTAAAATTTGAGTGCATTTTATCTTGAAGAAACAAAAGTATAGAGGGTCCATTAAACTTGTGATTGACGTTTATGCTTAGAAACTAAACAATATTACTCCAGTTTATAGATTATATATAAAGGAAGTGCAAAATGTAGAATAAAAGGCACTGTGTTGAAAATGTCCAAAATGCTTTAAGTTTGAAAAAGTTTATCACTCAAGAATCAAGTGTTATTAGTCCTCATTCTGTAGTGTTCAAACAGAGGGAAAAAATGGCGCACCTTAAATATTTGAAAATATGGTGTAAGCAATGTGGATTTTTGTGTGCATAGCCTCTAATTGTGGAGATTCTTATGTTCTAAGATATTAAAATTATCATTTTAGTTTTATTTTAGTTAGACTGTCTTTACTATAGCCCTCATTCTCATGAAATGATTACATTTTGAATTAGCTCCCGATCATATGAATTATCCCAAAGTGCCTTTTGATCTTTAGACAACAACTCATCATTTCATGCAGCTGTTTTGCTTTATTGGAGGGAAGCAAATTTAGTCTATCGAGTCAGATTTAGAAACGTTTCTCTAAGGTAAGCACTCCATTCCCATTCCCATTTCATGTAGAACACTAAAAACATTAGATGCTAGAAAAATCAATCGATGCTAAAAACTCAAAAACAAATCCATCGATTTTTACACTTGCGCAACATGCGATCTAATTTCTAGTTGCGATCTATTATTTTGTGTTTTGTTTTTTTAGTATTATTGTTGTTAGTGTTTTGTTGTTATTACTATCACTATTATTACTATTACTGTTATTGTTACTATTACTATCATGATTATAATTTTATTATAATACTCCCTCTGGTCCTAAATAAAGTTCACACTTTCCTTTTTGGGCCGGTCCAAAATAAAGTTCACACTTCTTCTCCATTCCTTATTTGGCAAATTATCTACATCAAAACAGTACAAAACAATGCAAAACAGTGCAAAACAGTGTCAAACAGTGTACTCTACAGCGAAATCAAATTTATTTCCATAATTTGTGTTAAGTCAAACACTGAACTTTATTTAGGACCTGAGGGAGTAATAATTACAATAATAATAATTATTATTACTCTTATTATTATAACCCTTATGATTATTATTTGAATAACATTCGAATCGAATGTATCAATATTTATTTGTATTAAATAAATGTATGTGTATTCTTATTTGAGTTTTTCGAATTTAAATAGTCATATACAAATTTGAATCACGAATCGAGCGCAAACGGAAGTGTAGTGCTCTATCATCACAACAAAAATACCTTATTTATTATTCTTTCCTATCTCAGAGTCGTTACAATGCATGACCAAAATGGTGACCCTTTATGGGCTAAAAATATCTCCTATTTACTTAACAATATTACATGCAAGCAGGCAGAAACACATAAGGTACATGAGCAAAGACAATGGAAAATGGGTCAACGTTTATGGGTTCTTCCAGGTTCACAACCCGTGGTTCCAACAAAGGTATCTCCCCAGATGAATCTACAATCAACTCCTCCCCATTTAGAAGGACTGTTTGGCTTTGCAAATCTCCGTCTTTTGCTGTCAAATGATACTCTTCTCTCGCGGTTCCACCGATTTTAGAGAATTTGTTGTATGCAATATCCACCACTGCACTACTATTGCCATCCAGGTTGATCAACAATATGGTAATGCCAGTCTGCAAAACAATTTGAAAATATGGAGGCCTGCGTGCAAATATTAAATGTATACAGACTTATTTTTGAAAATAATGAAATGTAATTTTTTTTGTTAAAGTTACAGTTTGACTCATTTAATAAATGGTTAATGTATAACTTAATGGTTGAGCATTAAGTACTTTCAAAGTAAATATTGCAAATCAGAGAAATTTAAGAAAATCTTCTTCATGGGTGTATCAAAATAATGAAGGAACAAATGTACCCTTGAACTTTATATATTGTTAGAGGCTCGAGGCAGCAAAATAAGGATGACAAATATTTTGGAAGAGTATACTCTCGAAGGAAGTAAAAGAAGAATAATAGTTAGTTATACTCTAATAAGTGCAGGCGGTTGTATTACTTACTATAAATAGAATAGTCTGGTGAAAAGAAGGCAAGCTGTTTAGACTCATTTGGTCTGGGACTGGGAAGTTGGAGTATTATCTTCTTCTTTGGGACCTTGTACTCTGTTTTCCGTCAGTAATGGAGTTTTACTGTTTTCTGTGAACTGTTTTCCTATATTCTGTGATTGTTATTAGTGTGGAGATCTAACAGTGGTATCAGAGCACGACGATCTCTGGATGAGACAAACTCGTGCTAAGATGGACGGAAGAATGACAGAAGTTGAGAAGAACATGACGGATATGGCCAGAAACCAAAGAGAATCAGTGGCGAGGCAGGATACATTAGAAACGATGATGGTCGCTATGCAGGCGAGTCTCGTTGATATTCAGAACCGACTTCCTGGTCATGCGCGAAGTAGATCGCAGGCATCTTCAGCTTCGCATCGGACTTCTCATCATCAACGTTCGCGAAATTCAGTACCTGATGATGAATCGGAGGAACAGTCTGATCATTCTCCACACCGCAATCATCGTCCTCACAGGGAACACAACACACATCACCGGACTGGAAGGAAGATCGACTTACCATTATTTAACGGAGATGACGCTTACGGCTGGCTGGTTCGCATCGATCGATATTTCCGTCTTAATCAGATCGAAGATGAGGAAAAGGTAAATGTCGCAGTTGTGGCGATGGAGGATCGTGCACTGAGTTGGTTCCAATGGTGGGAGAACCAGACGAGGGAAAGGAATTGGGATACTATGAAGGAAGCGCTGACTAGAAGATTCCAGCCAGAGTTAGTACACAATCCTTTGGGGCCTCTGTTAGGCCTGAAGCAAAAGGGAACTGTGCAGGAGTTTCGTGAGCAATTTGAGATGGCTATTGCATCGCAGGGTGATTTAAGCAGGAAGGTGACCAGAGGTATTTTTCTGAATGGCTTGAAGAAGGACATTAGAGCTGAATTGAAACTGTAAAATACCAGAGATTTGGCAGAATTGATGGACACAGCCCTATTAATTGAGAATAAGAATGTGGAGGTGATGTCAAGAAGAAATAAGGAAGAAGGGAAGAAGTATGGGAAGAGCAGTAATTCTGGCAAATCAAGTTACAATCATTGGGGAGATGGCAGTAGAAAGGGGTATCATCAGACTACCACAAATCCACCTGGGCAGGATTCTACTGAGATCAAAAAGCAAGAAGAAGGGACTAATTCTGGATCTAAGAAATTAGGTCCTAGATTGACACAGAATGAGCTGTTGGAAAGGAGTAAGAAGGGGCTTTGCTTCAAATGTGGGGATAGATGGAGCAGGGGCCATGTTTGCAGTATGAAAAACTTTAAAATGATGTTGGTTGAACAGTCTGAGGGAGAAGAAGATTCTGACATGAATTCTAGTGAAGAAGAAGAGGGTGAAGTAACAACAATGGAAGCTAGAACTCTGAAATTATCTGTCCTGAGTCAAGAAGGCATCCCATCCATGAAAACTTTCAAGGTTTTGGGAAACATCAGATGGGGAAATCATCAGCAGCAAATGAATATTCTGATTGATTGTGGGGCCACTCACAATTTCATTTCTCAAAGATTGGTGAACACATGGCAGATACCTTATAGGTGTATTAAAGGCTACAAGGTGCAGATAGGGAATGGGGAATTTCTTCCCAACAATGGCAGATGTGAAGAGGTAGCTTTGGAGATACAAGGTAACCAGATTGTACAGCCATTCTACATTCTGGATTTGGGGGGAGTAGATTTGGTGTTGGGAATGGAGTGGTTAACAGATCTTGGGGATATGGAAGTCAACTTCCAGAATCAAATTCTTAAATGGAGAAGACAGGACCAGCTGCATACTATCAAGGGAGATGTAACATTGAATCAGATGGAAGTTTCATTAAAGTCTATCACTCACATTTTACAGAATACAGGAGATGGCTATTTATTGTTTTGTGAAGGTAAAGAGCAGGGTTCTCAGCCCAGTCTTGAAGAGGATGAAACCTGGAACAAGGTAATTGGTGAGTTTCCTGAAGTCTTCAAATCAGTGTTGGATCTGCCTCCAGAAAGGGCCTGTGACCATGCTATAAACATCATAGAGGGAGCCAATATACCTAATCTGAGGCCTTACAGGTATACTTATGATCAAAAGAATGAAATTGAAAAGATTATACAAGAAATGCTTTCTTCTTGGATTATCAAACACAGTAACAGTCCCTACAGCAGCCCCATACTATTAGCCAAGAAAAAAGATGGTGGGTGGAGATTCTGTGGTGATTATCGGGCCCTAAATAAGGTGACTATTCCAGATAAGTTTCCTATACCAGTTATAGAAGAACTTTTAGATGAGTTAGGAGGAGCTAAAGTGTTCTCAAAGCTGGATTTGAAATCTGGATATCATCAGATGAGAATGAAGAAAGATGATGCCCATAAAACAGCCTTTAGAACCCATGAGGGACATTATGAGTATGTTGTAATGCCTTTTGGGCTAACAAATGCTCCCTCAACTTTTCAAGCATTGATGAATGAAGTTCTCAGGCCTTTCTTAAGAAGGTTTGCTCTAGTTTTCTTTGATGACATTTTGGTTTATAGTAAATCAAAAGAGGATCATATAGAGCATCTAAGAAAAGTGTTGACAGCCTTGCAAGAAAATAAACTGGTGGCCAATCGGAAGAAATGTTCATTTGGTCAGAATCAGTTGTCATATTTGGGTCATATAATTTCAGGAGAAGGAGTATCTGCTGACCCAAGTAATATAGAAGCTATGATAAGCTGGACAGAACCTCAAGATATCAAGAGGCTGAGAGGATTTCTGGGTTTGACTGGTTATTATAGACGGTTTGTAAAGGGGTATAACAGAATTGCAGCTCCTTTAACAAATCTGTTGAAGAAGGATAGTTACAAGTGGGACACTGAGGCTAGCAAGGCTTTTATCCAGTTAAAGGAAGCTATGACTACTTTACCTGTTCTTGCCACTCCAGACTTTAATAAGAAGTTCATCATTGAAACAGATGCTTCTGGAAAAGGGTTAGGTGCAGTACTCATGCATGATGGAAGACCTATTGCATTTATGAGTAAGGAACTCTCTCCTAAGCATCAAAGTAAGTCTGTGTATGAAAAAGAACTCATGGCTGTGGTTCTGGCTGTTCAAAAATGGAGACCATACCTACTTGGGAGAACGTTTGAGGTCCATTCAGATCAGAGAAGCCTTAAATACCTGACTGAGCAAAAGATTATGGGGACTGAGCAACAGAAATGGATCACTAAACTGCTGGGTTACAATTTTTCCATTAAATACAAACCGGGCATAGAAAATAAAGCAGCTGATGCTTTATCTAGAAAGCATGCTTTATTATCCTTATCAGTAGTTTCATGTCAGGAGTGGGTGGGATTGGAAGAAGAATTACAGGAGGATTCAAAGTGTAAAGACATTCTGCAGAAGCTTTCAACTCAACCAGAGTTAATGAAGGATTACCAGATCAAAGGAGGAATACTGTTTTACAAAGGGAAGTTGGTATTACCTAGAGGATCTAGCAGAATACCTAGAATCCTCAAGGAATACCATGAAACGGCTATGGGAGGACATTCTGGATATTTCAGAACTATGAAGAGGATTTCAAACTTATTCTACTGGGCTGGAATGAGAGCTGACATAAAAGATTATGTTCAGGGGTGTGATACATGCCAAAGGAACAAATACCAAACATTGAAGCCTGCAGGTTTACTTCAACCACTACCCATACCTAATCATATCTGGACTGATATTAGTATGGACTTTATTGGAGGGTTGCCTAAATCGATGGGAAAGGATACCATCTTGGTGGTTGTGGATAGGATGACCAAATTTGCTCATTTTTTGCCTTTGGCTCATCCTTATAATGCAAAAGGGGTTGGAGAAATTTTTATACAGGAGGTGGTGAAGATTTATGGGTTCCCTAAATCCATTGTAAGTGACCGGGATAGTATATTTTTGAGCACATTTTGGTCTGAACTGTTTAAATCAGCTAGCACAACATTGAAGTACAGCACTGCCTACCATCCTCAAAGTGATGGGCAGACTGAGGTGGTGAATAGGTGCTTAGAGACATATTTGAGGTGTATGACTGGCAGAAAACCAAGACAGTGGGTGAAGTGGTTGCCTTGGGCAGAATTCTGGTATAACACTAACTATCATATATCCCTGAAACACACACCCTATCAAGCTCTATTTGGTCAAGAACCTCCCATCATTGTCAGGGGTGATGTGAGTTTAACGTTGGTGGCTGAGGTGTCTAGGCTAAATGCAGAACGGAATGTTATCTTGAAGGAGTTGAGGGATCAGTTAGCCAAAGCACAAAACCAAATGAAGCGACATGCAGATAAGGGCAGAAGAGAATTGAAGCTAGAAGTGGGAGACAAAGTCTTTTTGAAGATACAGCCATACAAAATGAAGAGTCTAGCCAACAGGATTAATCAGAAATTGAGCCCAAGATTCTATGGTCCATATGACATCATAGAAAAGATAAATGATGTAGCTTTCAAATTAAATCTGCCAGTGGAAAGTCAGATCCACCCAGTTTTTCATACATCTTTATTGAAAAAAGTGATACATCCTACAACTACTTATCAAGATCTGCCCAAAGGCTTAACGGAAGAAGGAGAGTTGGTGGTGGAACCTGAGATTGTGAAGGAAACCAGAGTTAGTCAGAATGGGGAAAAGGAAGTCTTGGTACATTGGAAAGGTCTTCCAGAATTTGAGGATTCTTGGGAAAAAGAGCAGGTGATCAGAGAGCAGTTCCCTACTTTCCAACTTGAGGACAAGTTGGGTTTTCAGAGGGGGAGTTATGTTAGAGGCTCGAGGCAGCAAAATAAGGATGACAAATATTTTGGAAGAGTATACTCTCGAAGGAAGTAAAAGAAGAGTAATAGTTAGTTATACTCTAATAAATGCAGGCGGTTGTATTACTTACTATAAATAGAATAGTCTGGTGAAAAGAAGGCAGACTGTTTAGACTCATTTGGTATGGGACTGGGAAGTTGGAGTATTATCTCCTTCTTTGGGACCTTGTACTCTGTTTTCCGTCAGTAATGGAGTTTTACTGTTTTCTGTGAACTGTTTTCCTATATTCTGTGTTTGTTATTAGTGTGGAGATCTAACATATATGAGAGATTGTGAGCATATATATATATTCTTCAACTTCATTTTGAACAACTAAACACAAAAGTTTCAATCATACTATACATTGTGGATATATATGAGACTATATTTGTTCTAACATCACCATTTTTGTGATTTAGTGTCTCGAATAAAAGTTGAAGGGGGCATACTTGTGCTTTAACATATAGTTCAGGGGTATATATATGTATCTTCTCCCAAAATAAGTATTTGAGTGAGATCTCAGTTTGATTCAACTTACAGATTTCTTTGCACAATGAGCGTAAACGCGTAATTTCTTTGTCCCTGAAAATCTTGTTTTCAACACATTGCTTCCCATTAATCTATGCCAAAGAAGAGCACTGCAAACAAGATGGCATATGTAACATGGCTAACTAAACTATATAACTAATGAGGTGATGAAAAAGTTAGGAAGACTGAATACTCAATTATATATAATAGGAGTCCATATATATAATTTATGTTACTAAATAACCTGTAGTAATCTGGATTTGGTACAAAGGTGGTAGTATTGAGTAAACCATAGTTTCCACCAATTAGTGTTTGCCTGCAGTATGTCTTTGTACCATAGGATGCAGACATCCCTAGCTGATCAAGATACCTTGTGCATCATTCCAATACAATGTGTGTTACTAAAAAACATATACTATCATTATAAAAGCTATTACATCCAAAAGACCAAAACACAACCTGAGCCTTGGGGTTGTATGTTTTAAATTATAACAAGTGTGCTATCATCATTAAGTGATGTTACCATTTGCTATAAAAGTTTAAGCTTTAAGCTGAAGTAGCCCACTCAATGCCTTATGTGTTGATTTGCATATTCATACATGACTGCATCACTTAGGATGCCCTAAAAAATGGTCACTTGTTGGAGCTGACCCATCTTAAAATTTGTGTCTTCTCTAGTTATACGCCCGATTGAGTTGCTTGTTTGAAGGTAATAAGGATGTTTCCACATGTAATATTCTGATATGGACTAATCTGAGACTGTTCAAGTCCGACCTGAACTAGATTTGGTCTATTTAGATCTGATTTGATAATGCTTTGATAAGTGTATGTGTATTTTAAAACTGATCTAATCTAATCTGTTTATGTTTGATTATGCTTAGTCTAATCTAGTCTAGTTTGAGTATTAATTGATAGTCAAAGTTCCATATTTAAAAGAACATTTAGACTAGTCAATTTATATACTCTCTTCGTCCCATAAGATTCTTCCCAGTTTGATTTGTATTGGAGTTTTAAAAAGTGGGAATAAAGTGGAAATGTATGGTTGTGTATAAGTAAGAAAAATGTAAATGAATGTTAGAGCCCGTTTGGTAGCACGAAAATTGGCTGATTTGGCTTATTCTGCTGAAATCTATGAAGTTCTGACCGAAGTGGCTGCATTAGCTGATTCTACTGATTTAAGAAAAAAATACTTTTAAAATATATTTTATTGATAAAATAAAGAAAAAAATATATGTAAAGATAGCTAAAATAGTCATCTACAGTAACTTCAGCCAATACAGCCAGAAAAGTAACTTCAACCTTACTTTTTCTGCTTATTACACAATTCAGCGCGCGAAAGCAAAAATTACGTATTTGGTGAAAAAAGTTGGCTGATAAGCCTGATAAGCCGATAAACAGTGTTACCAAACGGCCTCTTGGTCACACAATACATTCTAAAAAGGGAAATGAGCCGAACTTTTTGGACGTCCAAAAAGGTAGGTTTGAAGAATTTTAGGGGGCGAGGGAGTACATTATATTTGGCAGATGTATATACCCTCGGGTTCACCCCAAAATTAAAAAATGTTTATATTTGTAGTATAAAATTTTTTCATAACCTTCACATATTTACATTGTAAAATGTGAAATACACTATGAATTGAACAAGGAACTAAGATTTTGATCGAGGAATAACAAAGGATTACCAGAAACTAAAAACGAAGGCATTGGTGACATGGTTTCGGCCGCTGTTATAGGCACCGCCAGCCTCTCCAACCCAAGCATTTACAGAAGTGCCAGAGCTCTTGAGGATGTGTTGCATCTGATTAAATGTCTTTGCTCCTAGATCCAGGTAGGACGAATTGAGGATTTTCTGAATGAGATGCTCATCCTTTGCTACAATTAACCCAAGAAATAATTAATAAAATCACTTGCAATGATGGAGTCAAACATGATAGTAGACTGATCTTGCGCTGAAATGGAGTAATATTCCAAGAGATGTCATTTTATTTGAGAAAACTTAAAAGGGGGAAATCACAAATTTCAAATACGTCCATAAAAGTTGAGAATGATTTTTCCCAATGATATACTTTTGTACGTAGTATAAATACTACAAGCCCGTTTAGTAACAGCATTTTTTACTAAGACTTACCGGTTAACATTTTCACCAAACATGTAAGTTTTGATTTCGCGCGCTGAATTGTGGTACAATAACAAAAAGTAAGGTTGAAGTTACTTTTCTGGTTGTATTAGTTGAAGTTACTGTAGAATATTATTTCAAAAAAAATTAAATATAAGTTTTTCTTTATTTATTCATAGATCAGCAGGATCAGACAATTCAGCAACCATCTCGGCCAGAATTTCATAAAAAAAGGAGGACATCTCATCGCTGAGAGCCCCCGGAAACGACTGTACAGTTATCTGGCAGGATGTAAATTGAGTTTTGATCTCACTATGATGGAAAGAAAATGGAGTTTGATCTCATGTCATTGGTTAGGGTTGAACTCGGAACGTCTTCCTTGTGGCACCCCCTTCCTACGAGGTGAGGTGCGCTCCCCGGTTCAGCCATAATTTCATAATACATTTTATACGTAGGACTTTGTACACGCCATTATATACCTAGGACTTTGTACCAAACGGGCTCTACGTAGGACTTTGTACATGCCATTTTATACGTTTTGATATACATCCATCCTTAGTTATTTATGTATATAGACAATTCGTTAAAAAATCAGAATTTTTTAACACAATTATCTATGTGAGCATGTAAATCTCGGTGTACACGAAGCACTACTGTATATAATAATATATCACAAACATCTTTGGCATTATATTTTGGACCGCCTAATTGAACTCTATAGTTGTGGTGATGAGACAATACCTGGACCAAGACTATAAATGTGATGAGTGATCACATCAAGAGAGTTTTCAGCTCCCTCTATAAACTTTTTATACCATTTTGCTTCAAAAAATCCTCCAGGAGCTACAACCAGTGGCTTACTGCTAGCATTCATGTAAACATCTTCCAACGTCGTCTTAAGACGAATTGTGTCATAAACATACTGATATGCTGTAACTCTTACCCCATCTCCTACGCCACTCAATTCATTCCCTAACAACAAGAAAAAAGAGACATTATATTTATCTTTGTGTTGTTTATGTCATAGAGTTCATTGAACTCATTTGAAATTTAAACCAAAGATTATAAAAGGAATTGTGTGTATAAAGCGTGTATCAAGAGCACTAGTCCAAGATCTTATATATTACGTAGTAGTTTATTAGTTCATATTATATCGGTACAGATGTAGAATACTTCAACTGATCAAGAGAGTTAAATTTGTGAACGCACCGAGCTCCCAACCATGGATGGTGTAGCCTTTATCAACAGTATAACGTATTAGAGATTCTGCATTGGTTGAATTCCATGGCCCGATTGCTAAACCGTCGGGCCGGAATGATCTTCCTAGGAGGGCATTTAAACCGAAAATGATAACCGCTCTGAAATCAAAACAATACATACATGTCATGTTCATCAATTCTTAGAGAAATTTGACTTCATGTCCTATATGATATTGGACTCTATTTTCAGAAAACTTAATGTATCCAGTTCAAAATTTTGTGGAGAAATATCGGACAATCATTAATAGTTCTAATCCGATGAGGGCATGAGGTGCACAAACTTTTGTTAAAATAGAGTGCAAAGTCTAATTTTGTTCAAAATATGGGATGAAAAGAAAATCCCGCCTTACTTTTTCTCTACGTAGTAATTAATATACGCATGCTCAACATACACGAAATTTGTGGTTGTAGCTCATTTTTTGAGTAAACTATTCGGTCAATTCTTAGAGGCTCGAAGGCATGTGGTGCTTCTTTACAAATGCTAAACATGAAATTAAATAATGCCAAGTGACAATGGTTCTCTAAATCACGTCTCATACATATTTTAACTTCTATTTCATATTAAATATTTTTGTTTGGCACAATCATTAATCAAGTAATTGAAAAGTAAAAGTTTGTGGTTGAATTTTGAATAGAATAAAGTGAAATAATAAGTATCATATATTTCCTGTAAAAAATAGAATATTCAAAACTCATAAAAGAAAGTAGCACGATCAAAATGAAACCGAAGGAGCATGTGTTTTGCCCTTAATATACTGCAGGCACGACTAAAGACATTTTATATACGTTTTATGTAAGAGGATTATACTAATTATGGGGCCGTATTTAAAAAATCAAAACTTCCGACTTTCCTTTTTCGTCCGTTCCAATTAAAATTTCCACTTTCCTTTTTTAGTAAAGAATTTGTGGTTCACGACATTTCTTACACATTTCTCTCTCCTTTGGACAACTATCCACCACACAATACCCACTATCTTAAACTGTGTGCCAAACATATTTGGAAGTTTTAATAGAAACCAGTGGCGGATCATTGTGAGGGCAGGGGTGGGCTCAAGCCCAGCCCAATTTTTTATTTATATATTAATATAGGTATAAATTTGATTACCAGCCCACCCCAAAATTAATTCCCAGCCCAACCCAAGCCTAATCCAAGTGTCCAACTATTCCACTAATCCACTCACCTGCGACCTACTGATCCTTATGCGAAGATTGAAGAACGAAGGTCGAAGAGGAGCCTGGCAGCTTGCGACACAAGCTGACCTGCAGCCACCAGCCGCACTGTCGGACGCCGTCGCCCACTCGGCCGTGTTTTCTCTCCGGCTCACCGCTCTGCCTATAGCTCCTGAGCCCCAGCCTCTAGGTGACCAGGTATACTCTACCTTTAAATTTCTAATACTCTTTTAGACTTTAATTAATCGAATTTTTCAGGGTTATTGTGTATTGTTATTTTTAGGGTTAGAGAATCAATTCGATAATTAATTGAATTTCTCAGTTCATAACAAAATAGTGTTTATTCATTATAAATTTATAATGATTAAAGATAGAATTAAAGATTAGAGAATGATTTATTTATTATACAATTGAAGAATATTGATTGATTTATTCATTGTGTGGACATGTAAGAAAGAATTAAAATTTTCAATTAAATTTTGAAATTGGGAATATTTATTAGTTTTATGTACAACTATTGTTTTTTCTTATTAGTTTTATAATTTTATAGAAGTGTTTTAATTCATACCAATATTAAAAATGTTTTTTTAGAATAGATAATGATTAATGAACATATGGCTAAGAAAGGAAAGAAGTTAATTTCGTCATTCTTTCTGAAAGTGAATCGTCAAAGTGGTGAAGGAAGTTCTGAACCTATACGAAATGAGGTTCCTTCACAAGACCAAATCCCTGAAATCCAAACTATCTCAAATTTGGAGCTGCCTCCATCTTTTTGCATTAATAGATGTAGATTTTATATTATTGATGAATTTTATACTATGAAGTCAAGTAGGGCTCAACTTAAATGATGTTTTGATAAATACTTAAAGTGTTGACGACTTTCAGTATTACTATGTGTGTGTCTTCAAATTTTATTTCTCAGCCCACCCCATTGTAGACTTCTGCATCCACCCCTGATAGGAACCCAGGTAGTACTTCAAATTCATTTTCTTAATATGTGTGAAGTCAAACTGGGAACTTTAATAAGAATCGGAGGGAGTATGATACACCTTTTTTGGATTGTTCCGCATATATCAACACTACTAAATTTTGCTACACTAACTTTTTAATTTATCAATTTATCTATCATTTACATTTTACTTTTTGAGGGTTTGTCTTGTTTTTCTTATTTTTTGGAGATTAAAATTGTAAAATAATTTTTTTATTCTTTTTTTTTTTTAGCTAAACCCACATGTTACATTATAGGATGAAGGGAGTACAAAACATAGTTTTCCAATTATACGTTAGTTCACGTCTTTCACTTTATTCACTTTTGGTATTTGACTAATGTTTTTAAACCTTTTGTGATCCTTTTTCGGCTATTTTAACCACCAAAAACATTGCACAGAAGGACCATATAAGGGTTAAAACACAATAATTATGTATTAAAACTGGACAAAATAAAAGATATGAACTAACTGTGAAATTGACCTAACACTCATATGACCAAATGTTAAGTTTATTCTTTTTGAGATGTCTCAAAAAATTCTTCCCATATGGAATGATTTGTGTGACTATAATTTAGTTACATTTTTCTAATTGAATTGTAACCTACAAGCATACAAGTTGGGAAGAATATTGGAGGATAGAGAAGGGAGTAGAACTTTAAAATGTTTTTTCTTTCTAAAGGGCATCAATATACTCCTTGCATTCCCTAATAAAGTATGATGTTTTTAATTATTTGTCTCTCTTTCCCTTTTTGGTAAGCTTTTTCAATCAAAAAATCTTTATAACCTCACTTTTATTACTCTTACCTCTTTTTACTTTTACATAATATCTTTTGTTTCGTACTTTATCATTACTTTACTCTTTTTAATATATTCTCTTTCATACTTTTTCATTTATCTTACACCCTCTATACTACCCCTACTATTTTCTTTTTAAAAGACACAAAAAAACTAAGAAGACTATTATCGAAGAACCTTTAAAAGGAGCCTTTATTAGGCAGACTTGAAATACTGTTTAAAAAGACATTATTGCATACCCAGATTTATTGAAGAAGACATTCATTTCATCCCATCGAGACAGTGAAAGACACCCTCTGTTGAAACCATACAATGCTGATATGTTTTTCACAAATGGAATGCAGCTTCCCTTTTGACCATCTTCTTCTGTTTGGTAGATGAGTTTATCTTGCAAAGTCCCACCCAAACGAATCTTTAACGGCGAGAAGGCTGCATAAGCATGTTGCAAAGGTACAATTAGATACCCACAATTTAAACTTTATTTTGGAAGAATATACGTGAAGGGGTGTTTGACTATATATAGTTCTTAAAACTGTCACACAGATATTAGAGTGTTTGATTGAAAGTACACGAATACTTCTAAGTGCTCCAATTGCTCCCAGATTGAAAAGTCCGGCAGAAATCAATTTTTCAAAACTGATTCTAATTCTACTTCTAATCTAAAAAAGGCCCGAGCGATGTCAATCTCAAACACTCCCATAAACTTAAAACGAAATTTGATTAGAATTTGCCTCCAAGAGATTTCACCCTTACCTTTTACTGCATTTAAGAGAATAGTATTGTTAAGATCCTGCACATACAACACAGATAAGTCATAGAATAGATAGTATATAGCTGTATGGGCCATCTAATGAACATAAAAGAAACAATTATTATAACTACTTGTGAAGTTCAGTATATAACAGCTCAATTTCTGTAAAGGTAAAAGTACCAAATGTAGAAGAGAAGCATGACCCCAAGAACAGGTTCCATAGTCACATTTCTCAGGTGGCCACCAATCCAAGGTAGCACAGATGAAGTCACTATCTGTTGCTCCAATGGCTCTCTTCCCATCTATATGCACAATCCCTATAGACCCACAGCACCAAGAGAGGAGGCTCAGGCTTAAGATACAAACTACCCATCCAAACAGCACCTTAAGAAAATTCCAAGAATGACCCATAGTTTCAAGTGAACAAGGCATGCATAAATCTAGTATATGACCTGAAACACAGTTTTAATTCGAAGTGTGTATATATATATAGTGGGAGATAAGGAAGAGTTAGTGGTCATAGGACATTAATTACTAGTGTTGTACACGGGGGCGTTGCCCTGGCCCAACTCCAATAGAATTTTTTAGTTTAAATGTCGTATATCTATAATTTTTTGAGTTTAAAATGTTATAATTGTAATTTGCAAAAAGACTTGTTTATGATTTACAAGTGTATATAAATCATAAACATAGAAGAAAGGTTGAGGCACATAATATGTTCAAAGTATTTATGTATCAAATTAAAATTTCGCAAAACATCTTTATAAACAACATTTTTCATACTTCTTACATTACCTCTGTTTTGGAATTAGTTGCAACATGTTGAATTTTATACTATTTACATGGTTTACTTTGATTAAATATCATTTATTAGTATATTAGAAATTTAACTTTTGAAAGCTACAGTGAGATTTCTCTCATTTTAAATTTTTAAAATCTGTATTTTTAAAATTTTACTAATAAGGAATGAAATATATCAATGCTCAAAATTGAGCATTGATAAACGTGAAAATAGAAAAATTGTAACTAAAAAAGAACGGTGAAAATATGTACTCTCTAGTAACATTTCTTACCTTTTATTTAAAATTTAAAATTTAACTTCTATCTCAAAAATGAAAAATTAGACATCTCAAAAAAAAGATATGAGATGTTAAAATGGGACGGAGTGACCAAGGGATTATACTACCGTAAATGAAAAGGTCAAAAATATAGTAGGGAGTTTGACATTTTAATTAGCTAATGATTCTTGGCTAGGTGCATTACTAAGGGTACGTTTGGCACAACTAGTTGAAAAAATACTTTTGTGAGCTTTTTAATAACTGTTAGGTTTTAGTTACTGAAAAGATCTTAAAGAGAAAATGTGATAGCTGTTTGCTAAAAAGCTGACTGTTTGATTTAGTTTGGTTTGGTATACAAGTTGTTAGGATTAATTTATACCAAAAGTCACGGGCTTTTTTCAGATGCTACTCCCTGTAGCATCTCAAAAATGATCTTTTATTTTTTGAAAAACTCTTAAAAAGTGTCATTTCAAACATATAACTATAAGCTTTTAAATACTTTTTGAACAGTACAAAAGCTAGAAGGTAGAGATTTATGCTTGTCAAACATAGCCTAAATGTCTAAATACACATGTCTTCTTTTATACCATTGGCCTCTTATGGATGGATTTGGACTAGGAAGGACATTACTACTTACTAGTTGTAACTCATAGATAATTAATAATTTAAATCACAATAACAATAACAATAACAATACTATCAATAGTTTTTTTTTGCATCAAAATGGTCTGTATTAAAATCAGTAAAAAAACTTTGGAGTAGACTCAAGATGGAACCAACCTGATCACACTTTGAGTATGCCATCCACAAACCATTATATACTTGGAGCAAAAATCACTAATTATGTAACAATTTTGCTATAGGTATCCCAACTTTACCCCATTCCCTACTTCATATAAATACCTCATTTTTTACCATTCCTTTTACCCCTTTTCCAAAAACCCTTCCCCCTCCCCCACTTTTCTTCTTCTTCCCTCCCTCTCTCCTCCATCTTCTCTTTTCACGCCCCTCCCCTCCCCTTTCTTTCTATTTTCTCCAAAACTTGATTTCTTCTCCATTTCAAGATCTCTCCCCATCAAATCTTCTCATTTTTTCAATCTTTTCTCCCTCCAAGCTTCTTCTCCTGCTTCTCTCCTCGTCAGCTTATTTTTTTCGTTTCAAATGGAAGAACTACAGTAATCGAGCGAAAAGGAGAGCTTGGTGACGTGGGGAGACAACGACGAAAGTACAAACCAAGAAGCTTTGAATGACTTGGAGCAGATCTACTTTTCTTGATTTTTTTCTTGATTTTTTGGTGCGTTTTAGAAAAAAATGGTTGTCTGTCTAACAGACAACTTGTAAGTGCAGTGTCTGTATTTGTTAGTCTAGGAGAAGAATATGTTGTTTTTCGTCATTTATTTGTATTTTGTTTGGCGGACAGACAATTTGGAACTGCAGTGTCTGTCTAGCATAAAGTGAACATGGTTTCATAGTTGTTTAAAGTTGACGTGATTTTATAGTTGTTAGAGTCATACATAAAATGTGTGTGTGGCCAGACAACTTTAAATGTATGTGATTTTGTTTGGAAACATGGTTGTATTGGTAATGTAGTTTTTATATAAATGTGTGTGCCTTTTTTTTTTTGAAACATGGTTGTATTGGTAATGTGAAGACACATGTGGTGAATGAATTACATATGTAATCTCTACAAGGAGAAGAGTAAGGTTTCCTGTTAGAATAAAGAATACTCTCTGTCTTACAGCCAGACAAATTTTGTCTTGGCCAGACATTAATAATCTGGGACAATTAACTACTCTCTGTTCTACAGACAGACAAATTTTGTCTTGGCCAGACATTAGTAGTCTGGGTCAATTAAGTACTCTTTGTCGTATAGCCAGACAAATTTTGTCTAGGCCAGACATTAGTACAAATAACTTTTGTGTTGTTTTTTACTCTGTCCTATAAAAAATTGCCAAATTTCTTTATTTAGTAGTGTCAAAAAAGTCTGTCAATTTCATTTAAAGTGAGAAATAAGTGGTTAAAGTTATTTCTTTCCCTTTTACACAAATCTTAATCACACAGTTTTTATTTTATTATTTCACTGTGTAAATCAAAATTGACCAAGTTTTATGGGACAAAAGGAGTATATTATGGACATTTTTTATTTGGGATGAGACGAGGCCTAATAAGCCCCCCATCTATGCCTTGGTCTCCGAGTGTCTATCGTGGTTTGAAAAATCTATAGCTCTTATCCATTGTTTACATGTTTCAATCGTAGTTTAAAAAACTTACAACTCTTCCACCGAATTCAAAACGAATAAACAAAAGAAAAAGCATACAAAATACAGAAAAAAGGAAAAATTGAAAAGAATAATCCCAACTATTATCGGTCCGCTATTAATAATCCCAACTATTGATTATTCCTGAGTGGTTCCAACTATAGGGACTATTTTCCAAAAATAGTCACTAACCTGTTACAATCTGGTATAGCAGGTCAAATTTAAATGAGAACTATGCATAAACTCTAAATAATCCCAACTATAGTTGATCTTCTTTTATTAATCCCAATTATCAACTCTCAATTTTAGAAAAATGTAAAAATAAGTTTATAAATTTTCAAATAAAATATTTTTAAACATGTAAAAATTATTATAAAAATTCTACATATGTACCGAAGTTAAATATAATATTTTTAGTCATTTTTTATTTATTTTCACTATTTTTTATTTATTTATAAATAACAAATGACTAAAAATATTTTTATTTAACTTCGATAAATTTGTAGAATTTTCATAATAATTTTTACATGTTTAAAGATATTTAATTTGGCAATTTATAAAAACATTATTATATTTTTTAAAATTGAAAGTTGATAATTGGGATTAATAAAAGAAGATCGACTATAGTTGGGATTATTTATAGCTTACGCATAGTTCGCATTTAAATTTGACCAGCTATACAAGGTTGTAGTAGGTTAGGAACTATTTTTGGAAAATGGTTCTTATAGTTGGGACCACCCAGGAATAATCGATAGTTGGGATTATTAGTAGCGGACCGGCAATAGTTAGGATTATTATTTTCAATTTTTCCAAAAAAAAAAGAACCCTAACTTGCAAAAAACAATAAAGTCTTCAAACATTAAGAATTACAATAGCAACCAGGGGCAGAGCTAGCGGGTGCCCAGGCTAGGTCCTGGCCCACCCCAAATTTAAAAAATACCAATATTTTTAGTGCAAAAAATTTTGTGTAATTTTTTTTTCAATAATATTCTTTGTACCGATCCAATCTAGCTCAGTTCTGGCTCCGCCCCAACAAACCATCAATAATTATAAAACTCAATTCCGGTTCCAAGTATTGAATAAATATCTGTTAAATGTGGTCCAGTGGTCACTACCTTGTGGAGTTGTGGATATGTAGATTTTCTAAAGTTTTGGGAAACTGAGAAGATAGAGGTTAAAAAGTAGGGAAGATTTTTGCTAAACTTATAAATAAAAAGGAGTGTTGGACATTTTAGCAGAGCAGACGTATAGAAAGATATGTGGATCTTAACCAAATATTGCATATGATATGTTGCACTTGACTTTGTAAAGGGTAAGTTGCGTTATCGCCTGTATATAATATGGTGCTTCAATTTACATCATTTTGGGCTACTTCGATTTGTTACGTTTGTCATGCCATTGTGTCCATAAGTTCATTACATCATTAAAATTTGGGATTTTAAAAAAAGTATTATTGAAATGTAACTTTTGAATAAAATAGAGATTTTTTTTTAATTTAAGAAATGGGACGAAATAAGCACTAAATGTGAAAACTCCTAAATGCACTTTACTCAGGGGTGTTTGGAGTTAATTATGTTTCAGTTTTTTTAAGTAAACTCAGAATCAGTTTTTCAGAACGGGTCTCTCCTTATTTCTAAAAATCTATTTTTATACACAATTTGAAGCACTCAAAAGTACTTCTACAGTTTCACTCAAACACTTTCTATATGTTAAGTTGCCTCACAACACCCTAACATTAAAACACAAACCCTTTTTTCATGCACTTGAAGTCGTATTATTGTTGGAGAATCAACTATAGGATTTAACTTGAAGTCAATTTAACAAACTAGTTTGATTTTATTCACCCTCACTAAAGAGGGTTAGGGGTGGACTCGGGCCGGGCCAATCGACCCGGAACCGGACAGACCCGCTACTGTGCGGGCCCGGACCGGCCCGGTGAACCGGTTGGTTGGCCGGTTCGGGCCACCTGGCCCGGTGGGATCTCAGTTCGGGCTCGGGCCCTTCAAAAGGTGAACCGGCCCAGCCGGTTCGAGCCCGGGCCGGACCATTTTTTTTTGATTTTTTTTTAAGTTTTTGGGTTGGGCTGGGTATTTTGGGCCACTTGAGGTGGTTAGGGTTGGTTTGGGGTGAGGGGGAGGGTTGGGGGTTAACTAGGAAAAGCCCAAAAAAAAAAATATAACTGAGGCCCGGCCTGGACCCGGGGGTTACCCGGGCCGGTTCCGGACCTCCCATACCTTGAACCGAGGCCCGACCGATTCAAGGCCCGAACCGAGTCCATCCCTAAAGAGGGTGATGCATGGTCACCCCTCACTTTTCTACTTGCAATGTGATAATCCAATCTTTTTTTTTTAATTGTTATGATTTTTATTTTTGTGGTCCACTTTTTATAAAGAATATGTAAAATAAAATAATTTCTTACTCCTTTCGTCACATTTTGTAAGATACACTTTCCATTTTGGGTTGTCTAAAAAATATAAGAGTAACACTTTTTAAAATTGGACTCCACTCACTTTAATTTTCTCATTTTATCTCTTTATCTATCATTTCACTCTTTACATTTTGTATATTCATTTTTCTTTTTCTTACTTGTGGAGGTTAAAATTATAAAATAACCAATTTATCCTTTACTTTCTTAAAACCCGCACCAAACCCATTTGCATCTTACATTATGGGAAAAAGGTAGTACTTTCTCGGTCCCAAATTGTTTTGCAAAGTCAACATTTTTTTGTCAACCAATAAAAAAAGTCAATGCTCCCAATCGATAATTAATTCAATTTTTAATAATTAAAATTTATATATTCAGAAACTACGTTGAAATCTCTTCAAAGTTGTAAACTCCAAATTAGAATATAATTAAAAATTAACATCGTATTTAAACAAATAAAATGAAACTGTTTGACCAAGAAAAGTCAAATTTGCAAATGAATTTGGGACGGAGGTAGTATTATCTTTCTAATTGTACCAATATTGCATATATAAAAATTGAAAAAAATCAATTATCTGTAAATATCTATTTTAATCATTTTTCTAATTTTAAATGTGCAATATTGATATAATATGAAGATAAAATTGGACAATAAATGAAAACGTTATTATAACAATTACAAAACTTAAAAGTGTTGTCATGCCACATGGCAACATCATAGGGGTGAGGTGAACATAAGAGGGTGAACAAAATCGCTCTCTACACAAACAAGCAACTCAATCCAATTGTGGCTTAAAAAGATTTGATTTCAACTTACGAGCCAACATCTTGCGAGAGACTCATCATACTAGTCAAACATTATATAGACTACTCATTTTATGTTGTTAACTTTTTTGAATTGAACCTGAAGTCTCAATACTAGCCTTCGCAATTAATCAAAATGTTGTAGTCATGTCTTTGATATTTTAATGACAGACTCTAAATAAGTGGAATCCTGTAAGAATACAGCTCTTGAAGCAAACCACTGATAAATGGTGTTTAAAATGAGGCAAACTAGCGCCTACCCATCATTGTTAATGTCAAAGATTTTGAAACAAAAAAAGATATACCTATTGCAAGAAAACCAAAATTGATTCAAAGGGATTACTACCATATTTGCTTCAGATGGAGGAAATACTGGAAATACAGCCCACATTAGATCTGATGGAGTCATATATACTTATCCAATAGGTGTTTTAAAAAGATGCAAAGTACTCAAACACCTATACTTGAAAAAATGCACCACTCTTATTTTAAGGCTTTAATTAGAAATAAAATGTAAGCTCATTTATGTTGACATGCACTGAATTTTGAAGAAAAAAAAACCAACATATAAGAGTGGGAGCACGAATCTTAGCCTCCTAATATAGGCAATGAGAGTAATCAGTTGAACTTGATTACTTTGCTGATTTATTGAAATTGTTTAATTTACTAAACTATCATAAAGATAAAAATGTTAATAGCCGAGTACCTTGTGATCCGATATCATCACTGTGACACTTCCAAGGAAAATGTCACAGGTTCGAATCTCATCTCAGTTCACGAATGTTGGTCTTAACATAAAACAAATACTATAATAGGTTAGAAAGCTTTGCAAAAAAGAAAAAGATAAAAATGTTAAAAACATCTAATATAGTCACATAAATCATATTATGTTCATACGCCCGATAAGCATAATAAACGAATAAGCAAATTACACTGTAAAACTGCCTTCCAATCCTTAGCTATTTCATCCTTTTACTATTGGCAGCAGCAAGCCAGCAACAACAACACTACTTACCACCAAGAAATTGATAATAATAGCTCAGCTGTTTCAGAGCTTTAGGTATACAAATCAACAACGGAGTCCAAAACTTATAGCCCTTAGGTGGAATATCCCATGCCTGATATCTATTCTATCCACCTGAGTTGCATAAAATAAAATGTAAAATCACAGTACAACAATACATATGACGTCGTGACGATCAAACAACATATTTTATCTTTTACTCCACAGTTGTAAAAGTGGGAGCAGTCCAATCTTGAAATACAAGTATACAACCGAATGTTCCCAAAATAATAGGTCAATGATTAGAGCTTTGTCGCAGCCGGAACGAGCCACCAGAATAAAGCATTTGGTACACAGGTCTTATTCTCACCGTCAGAAGTACGCTAAGAAGACAACCGATAGAGCAAAGTCCCGCCAAAACTAGGAACATTACCCTAAAGCAGTTAGGACCAATGCAAGTGTCGCTATGCTGCTTTGCAGCCTCATTGTCATACAATTTTCCAGCAAGAAGGCCCGAGAAGAGGTAAGCACCAAGAGGGTTTCCTAGTGCTATAAAACTGACAATTAGCCCGAAATGCTTCAAGCCAAACAGTTCTGAGGTCGTGGGTATCGCTATGGAGAACTGAACACCATAGCAGATCCCAAGTAGAGCAGTTGCAATGTAGAGAGTTCCATTAAGAGAAGAAGCAAATAAAAGGTAGGTAAGTATCATAATTGCTTGTGTGCATGTCATCCAAATAGTTCTTGGCATAGCTTTTGACCTGTAAGAACAATTCCATGCACGTTCAAATGGATAATACTCGGTAATATGGTAATAGAAACCTCAATAAAGAAGATCAACCAGGTAAGAGTAGTAATAGTAACTCAATGCCCTTATATGTCGTGTTTGATTAGTTCTAATACAATATTAACATTCGGTATTCTTCCATCCTAAAACTTCAAATGTTACTTCGTATAACTTGCAGGCAATAGCCAATAGCTATGTTGTAGGTCCCATATGAGGGGAAAGTTCATGACTAGACAGATGATGTTTATTACCATTACAGTTGCGTTGTTGCATAGTACAATGAAAAAAGAGAAAGTAGCATAGTCCAGACTCTAGAAAGAAGTGTCTTGTCCACATTGCCTAAATGTGAATGAAAAATCTTCTAATAACCAAAATAAGATATTCATAATCTTTTCGGATTGAGTTACACCCAACCTCATTCTTAACATGTAAGTATTTACTGTTAACTGTTAAGTTATCCAACATTGGTGAAATATAAAATTACAAACCAAAACACAAAGCATTAGACTACTCCTATCAAGTTAACTCTTTTAAAATCAAACCCCAAGTCTTAATATGTAGCCATGACTTTGCAAGGGATTTTGCTCTAATATCATAGAATCATAGAATGAACTACAAGGATAAAAGAGTAAGTCTACAAACCTGACAAAATGTTCGGAAATGATCCCACCGCTAAGACGACCCACAAAATTGCAGAAACTAAAGAGGGAGAGCAAGATGGTGGTGTCATGAACACCTTGTGCAATACCTATTTGTGCAAGGTTGTTCAAGACCGTAACCCCCGAACCAACACCAACAAAATTGACAAAAAATAAAGACCAGAAATCAGCCTTAACAAGTGCCTCTCTGAACCTAAAATCCTCACCTCTCCTGGGCCTTCTCTTTTTCTTTACTGCCCCCTCACCCTCAGCGAGAAGCATATCGATCTCTGAGATCTCCTCCCCTTCATCAAAACTTCCCAGGTTTGCTGATGATGATGACAGTGTCATCAGTAGAGGTTCTTCAACAGCCTTGTCTTGATCAAGGATGAAAGACTTGCTAAGAATGGATGGGTAGAGAGTCATTTTTACAGGAACCGCAAGTGGGGCCAACAAGAGTAGTATCATGATTACAACAACAACATAAGACACAGGAACACTCAATGAAAAAACGTCTTCCAAAACCGTGGTGGTGAGAACATAGACCCCAAGAACAGCACTCGCAACTTGGATGAATAGAAAGTGAGAATGCTCTGAAGGATCATCACCAGAAGAAGGAGTACATGGGCGAACGAAGAACATCATGATGAAACATATGCTAGGAATTCCAATGGCTAAGAACATCAAGAGGTTGGGAGACGAGTTGTGAAGCAATACGTCGTACACTTCAGTGAACACTGCAGCACTAAGCCCTCCATATCCTTTGAGAATTCCCGCCACGGTTCCCCGGTTTAGAGGGAAGTTTCTCATGTTTGTCACGAGTAATGACGTGCTAAACCATGCACTGCTGTTTGTGCCTATTACAAGTGCAATCCATAACTGCCAATGGTCAACATATAAGTATTTCTCTTAGTTGACTTGAAAGTGAGTAGAAAAACCAGTTCTTTAATTTCACAAGTGAGATTTTTTTCTCTTATCTTCATCTGTTCTTTTTTAGTTGCAACATTCCCATTTTCACGTTTGCCAATGCACAACTTTGGCCTTTGATATATTCCACTCCTTGTTAGTAAAAAAAATCAGATTTTGAGAATTTAAAATGAGAGGAACTTAACAATGTTTTTCATAATTTAATTTCTAATACATTAATAAATAAAATGCTATCAAAGTACAACACATGGATAGTGTAAAACTCAACATGTTGCATCTATTTATGAACAGAGGTAGTATGAACTATGAAACAATAGATAAGAAGAGTGCTGGCAAAAATACATAAAAATGGACATTGAACTTCATTTTATCATATATATTCATATGGTATCTGCCTCATCTTAAGATAAACAGTTTGATTACTGGTTAAGGCCATCTTGTGCGATCAAGACTACGAAACTTAAACTTCTGAAACAACTGAACAGTTTCAGGGCTTTAACCATGGTGAATGGTGATATAGTGGTATATATATGCACTAGAAATAGACAAAGGACTGAATCATCAAGAACATTGTACTACACCAATTTAAATTATTATAGAAGAATACTTTTATCAAAAAAATATTCCGAAAAAATCCCAAAGCAGTGAAAGCACTAAAGCTTACATTTTGTGAAAACCTGTGACCAAGAATCACAAATAAATTTTCCAACTTCCTATTTTACCCATGCAATCCTTCTAAAGGTGTCAATGGAACTTTTCCTATGCTACTTCTTAAATAAATAAATAAATAAATAAATAAATAAATAAATAAATTAATAAATAAATAAATTAATAAATAAATAAATAAATAAATAAATAAATAAATAAATAAATAAATAAATAAATAAATAAATAAATAAATAAATAAATAAATAAATAAATAAATAAATAAAAAAATCATTAAATAAAAAAATAAATAAATAAATAAATAAATAAATAAATAAATAAATAAATAAATAAATAAATAAAGAGACTTGTTTTTTAGCTTTGCCACATTTTAGTTTTGGCTTTCTTCAGTTCAAATAGGAATACAAAATATGTTTAGAAACATGACTGTGTTTTGGTTGATGAGAGTAATATTTTAAAACTGAACATATTTTCCAGGATGCTGTACAGAAGAATAATATGCAGTACTGCATATAAATACCCAAATTTAACTCAAGTTAGAAATGCAAATAAAATGACAGCACAGTAGGATTTTAACCAATCAGACAAATAATAATAACAACTAAATAAAGTAGAAGAAATAAAAGCAGCAGTTTAATTTACCAGCCAGTGAGGCAAGTTGGTAACAGTACCACTAACAGAGAGCCATAGAGTTCCATAGCCAAGAAAACAAGCAAAAGCACCAATGAGGAGGACAACCCAAGGTGGGAACTTGTTGCAGACAACGCCAGGAAGGAGACCTATATTCTCCCCAATATCATTTGCCACCCCAAACATGGTGAGCTGCTGCTGATTCAAACCCAGGACCGATTTGAGACTGTGGGAATAGAGTGGGAAATTGTATCCATTTCCTGCCGCTATTTGCAGCCAAACTGAAGCCCCAAGTCCCACCCATGGCGGCCTTGTCCCTCCCTTCAACTTCAACATTCTTGTCCCGTCTGATTTTTCAGGAATCGAGCTGAAAGAGTAAGGTATTTGATCTGATCTGCGAATCTGGGAAAGGGCAGAACTGAAACACTCAAACAGAGGCAAATTAAGGTATTATTACTCCCCCTTCCTATAATTAATTAATTATGTCGATGGTCAAACCTATGTGTTTGGCTATTTAAAAAAGTGAAAATGAAAGCTTTGTAACTAAAAACTAACAGGTGAAGAAGAGATTTCTTACACTTTAACATCCAATATCAAACCGCGTAAATCTTCCAGGAAAAGTAGTACACTAGTACGGTAGTACGCATTAACGGCTGGCCCATTTTATGTTTTCACATGTAAAAACCGGAATTGAATCGAAAAAGGAAAAGTAAGGGTAAATTTGTCATTTTATTCTTATTTACATATTTAAAATAGAAAGTGGAAAACCAAACTAGTAAATTTTTCTAATCAAATTGGGACGGGGGCATTAAGAAATTATTCTCTTCATCTGGCCTGAATGTTTCTGATCTGAATTTTTTAAGATATGATATGATCTGAATTTTTTTATCTGATCTGATCTGAATCATTCTGATATGATCTGATCTGTTCTGAATCTTTCTGATATGATCTGATCTGAATATGTCTGATCTGATCTGAATCCTTCTGATCTGATCTTAACTTTCTAAACTAGTATATAATAATAATATCAGTAATAATTATAATAATATATTATTAATAATAACTATTATTATTATTATAATAATAAAGAGAGTAACATAGAAATGACAAACACATGTGTTTGTTCTTACAACCCAATAGCACAAAATAATAATATAAATATACTTAGTGCCATATTCATTTAACGTCGAATTGAGCGCCAAATTTCAGCAGCTCTATAATAATAATAATAATAATAATAATAATAATAATAATAATAATAATAATAATAATAATAATAATAATAAGAACAACAACAACAACAACAACAATAGTAATAGTAATAGTAATAGTAATAGTAATAGTAATAGTAATAGTAATAGTAATAGTAATAGTAATAGTAATAGTAATAGTAATAGTAATAGTAATAGTAATAGTAATAGTAATAGTAATAGTAATAGTAATAGTAATAGTAATAGTAATAGTAATAATAATAATAATAATAATAATAATAATAATAATAATAACAACAGACTGCAATCAGGCCCAACAAGCCCAAACTGGACAAGCCCAGCAAAATGGAGCTCTAAGCAGCCCACAATACGCAAGGGGTGTCTTCGGCCCCACGACTGAAGGCTATCATTGACAGAATTGGGCTCAGAAACATCACAAGAGAACAAGGCTTGAAGACCAATCCTTCAGCATATACAGCTCTCGGCACAGGGAGGCCCCCGGTTAGGAGAGCCTTCGGCCCAACACCCTTCAGCCGAAGGCACTTCCCTCAACAGAATATCCTCTCCACATGTGCCTGAATCACCGTACCAAGTACAACGTCGCATCCAACCACCACATTTAATGCGGCAACATGCGAATGTCGGTGTCACCCCAATTGAGGTGACCCCTCCGCCACCAGATTATTGACATGTGTCCTTATCTAGCATTTATTGGTGCTATAAATAACAGCCCGTTTTCCATTGTAAATCATCACGACTTTCCTACTCGAATATACACTCTCTCTCTTACTTATTGTTATGATTTCTCTCTAAATTATTCCCGCAATAACCCCTCGGATAAGCTACCCCCGGGTACACTATCCATCATTTGGTACATTTAGATTATTTTCCGCTTTCATTATATTTTTAGATGAATTTATTGTATATGTGACAAAATAGATTTTGTACAAAAAAACGTACACCAAATGATACAAACAAAATTTTCCATCATAAATTGCTTTAAATGTTTTGTTGACCCTTCTTAACATATAAGAGCATTCACATTCATGTTACTTAAATAAATGGATATTTCATGACACGTAGATTTTGTCAAAATAATATCACACTTTCTAAATTACACCATTCATCATCTCAAAATAATCAGATCTTTTTTGGGTGGGTCCCTCACTCACCAATTAATACTATTGCACAATAATCTTGAGATAATCTGGATTCATATTTCAATCCAGGATCATTTTGTCAAATAATTTCACCAAATAATCTTAATCACTCAATCATGATCCCAAAAATAATTCGCCACATCACCAATTTAATCCTCAAATAATCATATGGATGGAGATGCCCTAACACCTCATTCAAAAGAATGTTCACCGACATCAAACATTATTGAATATTCCCGAAATAGAAACAAAATATTAGAAGTAATGACAAAAGTAATATTATAGGTTTTTAAGTGGATAAGAATATGGCCATTTTTTCTCCCAAAGAGGAAGATGCAGGTTCGAGTGTCTCATCCCAATCAGGGATGTTCGCATTAACATGAGCATATAATATAATAGGTTTTGAAGAATATTCCAAAAAAAGAATATGATCATTTTTAATTTTTTGACAAAAAAACCAAAGTGTAGTCAATGTCTAAAACACCCCTAATTAAAAAATCAAGATTGAGGAGCAACTCTTCCGCTCTGCTCATTGTCAATGCCTAACTTCTGAAATCACTCCCAGCTTATCTTTTCCACTGTCTCAGGCTCTCACCCTCTCCACCGCTACATCCACTTGATGGAGTACATGGGTCTAGAATCCCAGGACCCACATACTCAGAAGAATAAGAAGTCCAGCTGTCACCCAATGGGGTCACCGTCGGCCAGATGAGCCTCCATCGGCCAGAAAGATATCAACTCAGAACATGGTCCAGAAGTCAGGAGAACCGGGTGTTCCCGTCGGTCAGGTCTCCGTCGACCGTGGTTCCGTCGGCCAGACCCTCGTCGGCCACAGAGAGCTCCCAGAATCGGATTTCATACTTAATTATTTCTACACTCTTTGTACTCAGTCCTATAGTGGCCCAATTGTAAATGGGCCTCTCAAGCTCAAGACTTGGGAGCCCAGCCTGCATTTTCCCTATAAATACCCCTCTTAGGGGTAATTGTAGGGGTTCACAAATCATTAATAGCAAGTATTTATTGCACTTCTCTCTCTAGCTCTCGCTTCTCTCTAGACAATTACCCTATCACCACTCTATAGCCGCGATCACCTTCGTCGCACTCGGTCTTTTTGACCTCCATGGCCTCCACAGATAGTACTTTTGTCGATTTTCCCTTCCAGTGACGGTCTTCTGGCTATGGGAGCGACGATGACGACACGTCCTTTGGCATAACATGCGAGCAAAGGAGAACTTAAAGATTTGTGAGAGTGGAGCACACTAGACACTAAATTTACTTTATAATTACAACTCCAAATGTAATAAAAAACAGTAAAAAGTAAGTCACATGCATAAATTATACGTGACTATGAGTAGTAAATTATTCATTACTGCAACTTCAATAAATTAAGCCCGTAAGTTTTCAAATTTTAAGTGTTACATGATTGTTTCGCTTCTAAAATATCCACTTCTCTCATTTAGCACACTAAGGATATTTTTGCTTGGATTTATTTCAATCTCAGACCAGACCAAACTAAACTTAAATAAGTGAGACCACACGAGATCAGATTTAAATGGACCAAACTTCGATAATTATAATACGCAGAAACAAAAAAATTACCAGATCAAACTTAAACAGATCAGACCAAAATAGGTCAAAAAAATTCAATCCAATTAAGAACATCTTAGGCAATCCATAAAAAGGTCATATACCATCTTATTTTGAAGACCAATCTTGATAATATTCATCGCGGAGAAAAAAACTTAAAGTTTAGTCACTTTTTTAAATCCTAAGCAATCCATAAAATAATCACTTTTTAAAAATATACTTAAATTTAGTCATATTTTAGACGGTTGGAACTTGGAAGTAAATTTAGTCAACTTTAGTCATATTTAATCACTTTTCTAAAGCAATCATATTTTAGACTTAAATTTAGTCATATTTTAAGAAAACTTGTAAGTAAAACAAAACATATTTCCTTGAACGGTGAACACAGTAAAGGCCAAACTATGAAAGGAGTGTTAATATATTGCACTGCTCAAATTACTAAAGTTTTCATGGAGACATTTGTATTTACCCCCATATGCTTCTCTACCAACACAATATATTACTAATACGTATATGTTACGGAAACAAGCACAATACACACACAATTCTGATGTTTATGACGAGCAAACAACAAACTCTTGCTTTTTACTCCACAGTGATAAAAAGAGGGAGCAAACATAGGATCTATAGATTACTAAAACTGCAAAGATCCCGAAAGTAGTTGTTCACAATACTTCAAAGGTTCAAGCTTTGTTGCAAGCGAAATGAGCTCCCAGAATAAAGCGTTTGGTACACCGGCCTTATCCTCACAGTCAGGAGTATGCTAAGAAGGCATCCGACAGAGCAAAGTCCCGCCAGAACTAGAAATGTTACCCTGAAGCAGTTAGGACCGATGCAAGTGTCACTGTGCTGCTTTGCAGCCTCATCATCATACAAATATCCCGCGAGGAGGCCCGAGAAGAGGTACGCGCCGAGAGGGTTCCCTATGCCAAGGAAATTGATAATTAACCCGAAATGCTTCAAGCCGAACAGCTCGGATGTAGTGGGGGGCCCTACAGCGCAATGAACTCCGTAGCAGATGCCGAGTAGAGCTGTTGCAATGTAGAGGGTTCCATCAAGAGCAGAAGCAAATAGAAGGTATGTAAGTATCATCACTGCTTGTGTGCATGCAATCCAAAATGTTCGTGGAAGAGCTTTTGACCTGCAACAACATTGCCACATTCAAATGAATAAATATAAGTCTTGCTTTTTATCCTTTTTAGAAAAATAGGGAAGGTGTAAATCTATAAAAAGGAAGCAGGTTTAAATTGGAATTTATGTAGAATTTATATAGAATTAAATACAGAACTGAAGGAGAAATACTACAAACCTGACGAAATGTTCAGAAACGACCCCTCCGCCAAGACGGCCCACAAAATTGCAGAAACTGAAGAGCGAAAGCAGGATTGTAGTGTCCTGAACACCTTGTGCGATCCCTATCTGTGCAAGGTTGTTCAAGACCGTAACCCCAGAACCAACCCCAACAAAACAGACAAGAAACAAACACCAGAAATCGGCCTTGACCATAGCTTCTGTGAACTTAAAATCTTCACCTCTTCTAGGCCTCCTCTTTTCCTTAATTGCCCCTCCACCCTCCGCAAGAAGCATATCAACCTCAGAGATTCCCTCCCCAGAATCAAAGCTTCCCAGGCTAGGCGATAGGAGATTCTCCGTTGTTGTCTCTTCAGCACCCTTATCTAGTAAGAAAGACTTGCTGAGAACTGATGGATAAAAAGTCATTTTTAAAGGAATTGCAAGTGGGGCTGACAAAAGGAGAACCATGATAATAAGGATGACATAGGAAACAGGAACGCTTAACACGAAAATGTCTTCCAGAATTGTTGCTGTGAGAACATAGACACCAAGAATGGCGCTGGCAGCTTGGATGAACAGAAAGTGGTGATTCTCTGATGGGTCGTCACCCGAAGCAGGAGTGCACGGTCGGACGAAGAACACCATGATGATACATATGGCAGGTACCCCAACAGCTAGGAACAATAAGAGGTTGGAAGAGTTGTGAAGCAATACACTGTACACTTCAGTGAAGACTGCAGCACTAAGTCCACCGTAACCCATAAGGATCCCAGAAACCATGCCCCTATTTAGTGGGAAGTTTCTCATGTTGGTCACTATTAAAGAGGTGTTAAACCAGGCACTGCTGTTTGTAGCCACCACTATAGCTATCCATATCTGCCAACGGTCACAATGTGTAAATTAAATGTTGATTATATTGGTCTCAGTTGAAAAGAAAAAAGTTATATTGGAATCACAAACAAATAGATAATAGACACTTGACTATCTATCGCCAAAAGCAAGATCCATGTATCAGTTTTATGTTGATACAGAGCATTATATCAAAAAAGTGGTTCCAAAATGCTAAAAAGGGGCTGGGGGTGGGAGATTGACTACAAATAAGGGGGTTATCTTAAAATATTTTTCAAATAGAATTTACTATGAGTATCCTCATTGTCACTGAAGTATAAATCTGAGTCACGATTTTGTCCCTTGTGTTTATTTAGTCAACTATTGGTCATTTTTTCTTTGAATAAAAACAACAATTCACCGTAGACTCGAATAGAATTTCAATTTCATTATTCACTGAAACGTAATACTCCGTACGATTATATTTTCCAATATCAGATTCACCTAATGTGCCATTATATACTACCTCCGTCCCATTTTAGTTAGCCATCTTTGACTTTTTCAGTCAAAGATAGTGAACTTTGACCAATTATTTTAACTAATATACTTATGCAAATTGTAATAATTTATACTTTTATAACAGTTTTTTTACATAGAACATTTTCATATCATTTTCAAATTATCAATACTTCTATACTATTGACTTGAAAATCAAATTTGGCTAACTAAAATGGGACAGAGGGAGTATACTTTTAATTTTTATTTACCAAAAAAATAATAGTATCATTTTTTGCCTGAAAATGTGCTTGTATTATTTTGGGTACGTATTGAAATAGTTTGGCTATCAATTGGTAATTTGTAATGTTGGAATCATTTCTAATCTATATCCAATAGTTTATACATAGTACGGAGCATTATTTAGAGTCATTTTCCTCAAAAAGAATGAAATAAAGGAGTTGATTTTTAGAACAGTCACCAAAGGACAGAACAAAATTCTTAATCTTCCCAGTTTGCAGCTCCTTTAGTACAAGTTCAAACCAATATATCAAACTGTGATTCCAAATGCAATATAACAGAAAGCAATAAAAACAGATTAGAATTTTATTAGGCGCAAACAAAAAAGTGAAAAACAAATTATTCCGGGTTTTTACTCCCTTCTCTAGTTCATGTCAACGGAACTTTAAGAATCTTCTCTTTCTGGTCCGTTTGGATGAAGGTTTTTGAAGGGGTTCAAATAAACTAAAAACCAATTGGCATAAAGATGAGACTTTTAGAAGGTCACTAATACATACTAACATACAAACTCTCAATCACCCCAGTTTACACAGAGTTCTTTAGTTCAAGTGATCAACTGATTATATCAAACAGTGATTCGAAAATGCAAAAACCAATATAAAAATTAGAGTTCCAATATAGCAACACACACATCTTTTTGGATCCCGGTGTTAAGCCACTACCAGAAGGTATTGGGGTGGAAGCCAGGAACACCCCCACCAGTTTATTAATAAAGTCCCCAAAACATACAAAGTAATATGAAGTAGGAATAGAAAGACCAAACCAAAGCCTACTCCCCAGTTTAAACAGGCTTATTTATCACATTTGATTTTTTTTTATCCAAAAAAAAAAAAAAAAAACAGGCTTATTTAGTTCAAGAAAGTGGAGCTTTGACGGGTTAGTTTGGAAGGAGCTTTGGATGGATTACTACACATTTTTATAAGTAGAAAGTGTGCAACGTTTTAAAAGAAGAAATAAAAGGATTCTGGAGCAATATATTATATATGCTCACATATTATATGAGACGAAGTATATTGTTCACTTTCATTTTAAATATCCAAAATTTATATCAGGATATTGACTAGCTCCTCCAAAACCTTCTCTGAACCAAAAAAATTGGACTCTGCAATTTCCTAATAAAGCAGACCAATAATAGAAGTAAATAAATGAGAAGAAAGAAAAGCTTGAGTTTAATTTACCAGCCAATAAGGCAAATTGGGAACAATGCCACTAACAGAAAGCCAGAGAGTTCCATAGCCAATGAAACAAGAAAAAACACCAATGAGGAGGACAACCCAAGGTGGGAACTTGTTGCAGACAAGGCCAGGAAGGAGGCCTATATTCTCTCCGATATCATTTGCCACCCCAAACATGGTGAGCTGCTGCTGGTTCAGACCCATAACTGACTTGAGAGTGTGGGAATAGAGTGGGAAGTTGTTCCCATTTCCTGCGGCTATTGTGAGCCAAACGGAAGCTCCGAGACCCACCCATGGCGGCCTTGTCCCTCCCTTCAAGCTTAGCATTCTTAACCCTGTGAAGAATCAGTTGGAGAACACAGAGGAAAGAGTAAAGTAGTGGAATTTGATCTGGTCAGAGCAAGAAGATAGGAGAAGTGGTGGACAAAGCTGGGTTTAAATGAAAACGAAAGAAAGCGTGGGGATTGAATAGAATATTACCGAGTATTTATGGGAAGAATTCAAATGGGGTACCCAAAATATTGGACGGTGATTTTGGACTTTGGGAGCTTTGCAAATTGCAGACATTACTATTTACTGTTGATGGATCGGCAACCACTCACGACAGTCTAAAATCTTCGAGCATCTGTTTTATTTATTGCGATATTATTATTATTTTTTTGGCCCGTGAAAACTTTATTATTCACAGATGATGCTCATGAAATAAACTCGATATAAGTTTGTGATACAGTCGCACTGGTTTTCACCTAAAACAAAATGTTAAACAAAGTAAAAAGTTCGGTTCGATTTGGTTTATGTTCAAAAATTTGAAACCATGGTTTGTTCGGTTCGGTTTATTTCGGTATGGTTTCGGTTTTTCAGTTTTACCAAAATATTATTGTTGATTACAAAAACAAAAAACAAACTATATCAAACTAGTATTAATAGTTGTACAATACAAAACATAAATAGTTAAACAAAAAAGAGAGAAGAAACAAATGCACTTATAAGCAATGAATTAGAGAGTACATATATATCAATTTAAACATTTTCTAAATTAATTAAATGCGTGAGTTTATTTGTGAATTATATACGGTGTATTCGCAGATTAAAACTTTTAGTAAATAACTTACTCAACTTTTTTTAGACAAAGATATATGTGTTCTAAAGTTTCACATTTTCTGCTATGTTGTTTAAAGTATAGTTGATATTAATACATATTTGTTCAATACAAAAAACTACATAGTATGTGATAACAAACATATATACATAACATATAGAGATAATTATGCTAGATATGACTAAAACTCAATGAGTTTCCCAATCTATGACCTAACCAGTTTTTTTACCAAAATAATATTAAAATTTATAAAATTTAATTAAAATTCGTAATAAATAAATAAATAAATAAATTTGGTGGACAAATATACCCTTTAAGCTATCTCTATAAAACCCTAAGCTCCTATTATTTTCTCCAACCCTAGCCTCCACTCTCCCGGCCTCTAGAGATCCACCCGCCTCCTGCTGCACGCCCCTGCCATCGTCACATGGCCCACCATCCACCGCCGTCGTCTCACGGCCCGCTGCCCGCTGCCGTCCAGGAGCACGATCATCCAGTTGCTTGCTTGCTCGGCCACCAGTTCATCCAATCGTTAGCTTGCTTGGCCACCCCAGCTCCATGCCTACTCGCCGCAGCCGCAGCCCAGACTGCCGCCAGCGCCCCGTCGGTGCCGCCGTCCCGAGCTATGCGCGGACCTGCCCAGTCGCGCCCAGTTACGTCCATCTGTCCTTGCACTTACCTAGAGCCTTCGGATTTCAAAATCAGATCCCCTATTTGGAGCTTTTAAAGCCGAGCAAAGTTGTAGGGAGATAGGTTGAAGGTAAGGGACACACACTTTAATGAAGAACGAATTGGATCCACATGCTCTAGTTTTTTTCTTCCTCTCAATAACCCAACAATTTCATAAGATTTTTTTCAACTAGTGGGGGTTTAGCCTAGCATTCCAACAGTATGGCCTATATTTTCTCTCCTTGAAGCGCTGATATAGGTGTAACAGGGGCAGTAGCAGAATCGTCCAATATAATATTAAGGTTCGTTAAAATTAGGGTTTGTGGGCATTAAACACGGGCAGTGAAAATGGGCAGTGAATAAATGCATTGACGGAGTATGTTGTGCATTGAATCGAAGGCCATAGAACGTGTTATAACGTTGACAGAAAGTGCAGTGATTATGACCAGTAGTGCAGTAATGTAGAGCAGTAACACCGGCATGAAATTAAATATATCTAATTAGATGTAAAATGTAAACAATTTTAAATCCAAAAAAAAATAAAAAATAAAATCTATAAATAAATTTATAAATTGGATGAGAAGATAACTAATAATGGCGGAAGTGCAGTGATATGTTACCGGATGTGCAGTAATGTCGTGCAGTAATGTTGTGCATTAATTGTAGTATAAAGTGCATTATTTTTAATTGGACGAAAATAGTGTAAAATGCACATTTTTTGAATATGGGTATTTTGGTCATTTAATATTTTATTATGAACGAATTTTTCTTTATATTTTTAGTTTTCAGTCATACAAATGTCTAAAAACATAACTAGTCATATACAGGGAAACTCAATATGTTTTGGTCATATCCCGGGAAATTTCCCTAACATATAATATATCAACAAAATATCATTGTCATGCAACAACAAGCAAAATCTAAATTTCGATTCAAAATATCAACATATTAGTATTATAACAATAGACCTAAGTGTATGTACAAGTGTTTCACTTAATTAAATCATAAACATTAAATGTCAATATCTTGCAAATCATAATAAACCTAGTATCAAACATTAATTTTTTATGTTGGGAATATTTTATGGTGTTCAATCTAGTTAGTTATCTTTGTATTTGTGTAGTTATCAATTAATCGTGTAATACGGGCCACAAATGTGTATCAGCCCGTGGGCTTCCTTGTAACCCGTAAGTTAGCCAACTTCTCCTATAAAAGGAGGCTAACTTACGGGAACCCTAACGATCGATAGAGGCTTAGAGTTTAGAGGCGTAAAGATACAGAGTAGGGTTGCCGCTGCTCTCCTTCTCCAGGGAGAGCAGCGGCCAGTTTACACGGTATACCAGATTCGTATAATATCTACATATCTTTCTATCTGCTTCTTCTATAACTGCTATATTTGTTGTTTGTTAGTATTCTGGGATTATCAGTTGGTATCAGAGCCGAGGCGTGAAACAGGTTGAATGTATCTGCGATTTTCTTGGATCTAACGAAGAATGCTCTGCTTTTCTTCTCTTTTTCTTCATATAGAGTTTTGCTCCTGTAATCTTGTTTGTGAACGAAAATCTGTAAAAATTATACTGTTGGAATCGCCTCTCAAAACCGATTCTACAGCATATCTTCTTTTTCGTTTTCTGCAAATTTTCATTTTCGAAAAACTCTCCTTGGATACTCGAGTTTATGCTTTTATATGCCTGCAGAAACGATTTTGACTTGAAATAGATACAGGAGGGATCGCGACCTTCAGGGCTATTCAGAACAGTTTTCAGATTCTCAAAATTCGACAGTTTTCAAAACCGAGAGTTTGTAAACTCGCGGTCATGAACTCGAGTTTGTAAACTCGCGGTCATGAACTCGAGTTTGTAAACTCGCGGTCATGAACTCGAGTTTGTAAACTCGCGGTCATGAACTCGAGTTTGTAAACTCGCGGTCATGAACGAGAGTTTGTAAACTCGCGGTCATGAACGAGAGTTTGTAAACTCGCGGTCATGAACTCGAGTTTGTAAACTCGTGGTCATGAACTCGAGTTTGTAAACTCGCGGTCATGAACTCGAGTTTGTAAACTCGCGGTCATGACATCGAGTTTTAAACCTCGAGTTTTTAAAATTTTGAGAGTTTTGGAATTGCGAGTTTTGGAATTTTTTTCGAGTTTTAGGAACTCGATGTTTTGGATTTCGACATTCTAAAAAAATTCAGAATTTTCGGAATTTCTCGATGTTTTGAATCTTTCAAAGTTTGCAGTTTCTTGGAACTCATAATTCGAATCTTGACATCCTTTGCAGTTCATCGAAGCTTTACATTATAAGGATCTCTGAATGATTCCCTGCTTATATAAATGTTTCAGGAGTTTTCGATGTTCTGATGTTTTTCAAACAGCAAGTTTTCGAGATTATGAGATTTTTCGAAACTCCAAAGTTTTCGAGGTTCCAAACATTTTGAAATTCTTAAGATTTCGTTATTCTGAGGTCTGTTTTGCAGGTGGATTTCGTCATTACTCTTCAAGGCAAACTCGAAATTAAAATCTCCAGATTTGGATTTCGAGTTTTTGCCTTAGAATTTTGTTTAAATTCACCTGCTCTCGAAATTCAACATCGAGAACCTCAACCTCGAAGATTTTTCTCAAAAACTCAAAATTAGAGATTTTCTGCGACACCGCACTGTTTTGGCCATAACTTTTGACTCGGTGATCCGATTTGAGCAAACTTTTTTTTGTTGGAAAGCTAACGCATAGATCTTTATTTATTCTATGGGTTTACCCCAGAACCCATTCTCACGCGCCCTCACTCGCAGTCTTTGAGGGTCAAAACGTGAGTTTTCCGACAAACATTGTAAATCACCGATGTCCGGGCCAAAACTTAGGCAAATCTGTTCAAATTCTTTCATTGTCAACCCTGAGGTCAAAACTTTTCTAAACTTCAATGTAAAGGTCTGAAAATCGTAGATAATTCAATCAACCTCGCGTCAACGGTCATCTTACAACAATCAACAATCAACCGCTGAAGCCTCCCCTGACTCATCAACATTATGTGTTCATCAATATGCTGAAATTCTACATGGTGAGCTCAGGGAAACCGTCATGTGTGGTACATGTTAAGATTGCTCCACACACATGGCGAGTATGACAAGCTGTGAGCAATCAATCCTTGCACATTCTGAGGGGGGGTTTCAGTTTTCTCCTCCTGGCGCCCTACACCGACAAAGCAAGGAATCTCTCAACGGATGCAACATTCTAGGGGGAGTGTTCAATGTTATCCTCCCCGGTGCCTAACAATGACAAAGCATACCGGGTGCTCCAGTTGAGGGGGAGCACAGAGAGAAAATGAAGAAAGTAATGAGAGAACATGTCCCTATGGCTTAGTAAACCCAACTAAGCCTACCCAAGGGACAAAGCCGAGCGTAAGTGCGTAAGTGAGCGAGTGAGTGAGTGAACATTATGAGCATTACGAAGCAGAAGGCTCAAGAGAGAAGAAAAACAATTATCAATGATGAGTCTGCTACCTCAATTGCCTGCTATGAATTGAACATTTGCTCCTAGCCACTAAAATACTCTGGACTATCCCCATAGGTTCAGGAATGAATTTATTCAGATCCCGGGTAGAAGTCGCTGCATCTTGTCCAAACGGCGCATGTACAACCCTACCCTAGACCACTCACTTGTCTCCCAACAGACAGGTGTTTAATCATAGTTCACAGGGAACCACATCTCTCATTACTGTCTCCTTCCGAGGCAAGTACTACTGACTACAGTGGCCTCAGCCCCATGCCACTGAATTTTCATTGATTACGTCGTGTCTAGTTACTCACTTCCCAAATGTTTTGAAATTTTCTAGGACACAGACACATTTTAGAGTCAGTTGCTAGTCTTCAAGACCTGCGAGAACTTCCATAGGGCTCATCTATTACAGATGTAGACCAATAATTGGAAGGAAGTCCTGCTGTTGCAACATAAGAATCACCAACATTTTCAGGCCATTGCTTTAGAGTTTATCTCTATAGTGATGATAACGGGCGTCTTCACGACCCCGGGGGGCTACGTTATCTTTTTTAGATTCTGCTTGTTTTTCATGTTTTTTTTCCGCAGAATAAAAGAATAAAGCATGACGTCCCGATTCATCGGATCGTCATGAGGGGGAGAGTGGTCCACATGCTGTTAACACTGAACAAATCATTCTGGGACACTTCACTCCTCCATCACAAAATTCAACACCCTCTCTACTATCTCCGCAACTCAAATCAAATGGTCAGCTACACTCACAAATCAACCATCATTATGTCCCGCTGTGCCACCGACAAGTTCTCCTCAAATGCATTCATTCCAAATAGTCAAAAAGACTACATTGTGGAGGAGATAGAGATCAAATACTCGTGTCCTGAAGATGAATTCCATGGTCGTCTCCTATTCTCCAAAGAGTATTCATTCTAGAGGCGTCACCGGACTTCATCCAAGCTGATCAATAGCAACTTCTGGAAGGCAAGGACTACATGCAAGATACTGAAGGTCCCTCAACCCCCGGCATCAAAGATCAAATTGTCAAGAAGACATCAAAGGGGAGATTGCAAGGATTTCTTCAGATAGCCTTCCTCAGAAGTCGAGTTCAAAGACAAAGGAAGCTCAATAACAACAAAGACAAAGATATATGCGCTGCAATGCTGATTCAACACGATTGATCACCAAGGGGGAGATTGTTGGGAATATTTTATGGTGTTCAATCTAGTTAGTTATCTTTGTATTTGTGTAGTTATCAATTAATCGTGTAATACGGGCCACAAATGTGTATCAGCCCGTGGGCTTCCTTGTAACCCGTAAGTTAGCCAACTTCTCCTATAAAAGGAGGCTAACTTACGGGAACCCTAACGATCGATAGAGGCTTAGAGTTTAGAGGCGTAAAGATACAGAGTAGGGTTGCCGCTGCTCTCCTTCTCCAGGGAGAGCAGCGGCCAGTTTACACGGTATACCAGATTCGTATAATATCTACATATCTTTCTATCTGCTTCTTCTATAACTGCTATATTTGTTGTTTGTTAGTATTCTGGGATTATCATTTTAGAATTAAAAATTAAGAACTAAACAAAATATTATACTTAATCATTTATAAATAAAATAGCTAGTTTTAAAAAGTTCGGTTTATTCGGTTCGGTTGTGAGATGTAAAAACCAAAACTGAAACCAAACAACTACGGTTCAGTTTTTTGAGTTCGATTTCGTTTTCTTGCTGTCCGTTGTTTTGGTTGCGGTTCGGATTTTTTCAATTCACTATTTGGTTTTTGGTTTCTCCGACTCACCTCTAATATAGTCTCTCTTCTAAAATGAAATTCATTGTTTTATCCAACCCAATATAAACATTTCTTTTCTGCTTGTAATAAAAAATTTAAGATTCATAAAATTTCTTTCACTTTTCTCTTTCCTGAATAATTTTATCACACAATTTGCATTATTTTAATCTTCATGCAAAGTCAAAATACGAGGTTATTATAGAATGGAGAAAGCAACATCTTGGGTTAGATGGAATTCTCGACGGTTGGATCTAGTCATGATAGAGACCCTAAGAAATGAAAAATGATGATGATTATAACAAATTAAAGAAAAAATAAGAGGCTGTGTGGAGGCCTTAAAATAGGCTGATAAGCCTGAAAGTAGGGGGAAAATGTGAAACGGTCATTTAATGGGCTGTTTTGGCTGATTATTATTATCAGCACAAAAAAAAACCCCAACATTACTTTTTAGCTGAAATCGATTATTTCACTGTTGGCTAGCAAACATATCATCTTATCCTTCTTTTATTACCGGAAAATGCCTGAAATACATTGGTTGATTGCTCCAAATATGAAGTAGGCGACATAGCTTCAGAAACTATACTTCCTAGTTGAAGGTTTCTTGCTCGACTACTCCCTCTCTTCTTTTTCTTATGAGACCCATGTTCCTCTCCAGTTCTTCTTACGAGATACTACGTACTAATATATGATAATGATTTTCTATGCTTCATATTTGATGTTTTTTAGAAATCCAGATTCGGTGTTATTTATTGTTCTTACGATTCTAAAGAGTGGCATGTTTTAAGAATTCTTAATAAAGTAACCATTAGGAATATTCATTTGAAGTTGTAAGAGTTGAGCACTCCTTTGAAGCGGTAGGCTAGATCAAATCCCCCTTTAAAAAGAAAATTAAATTAATATCATTTATGCTAATTTTAAATTCAATCGGTTATTTCAATCATTTCAGTTGTTGCGATCTTTATCAAATGGGCCATAAGTGTGTGACGTTATCATTAGGGGCACATCCCACTATTGAACTAATGGAAAAGGACATACGGAGTAAATATTACTTCTACCCTTTTGAAATACAAAAAAAAATGACTAATTTTCATTTTTTTAAAATGTAAGTAACCTTTTATTTACTTAATCCAAAAAAATCATTATACTACCTTCCTCATTATGTGCCATCATTTTTGTTTGACACAATTATTAATAAAGTCGATAAAAAATATAGGTGAAATTCATAAGAATAATCCCTATTTTTAGGAACTAGCAATAATGTCCACAAAAATAAATTAGGGTGAATTCAAATTAATGTCCGTTTAATACTATCAATACCTATTCTCACTTTTCTCTTGACCGCTCTTCTTATCTAAATGTATTTAAACTAAAACCAGTTCAATCTTAATGACATTTCCGTCACATGTGATTCTTTCTAGGATTGAAGATAGAAGTGTTACCCAAAAAGAAGAGTGATTTGGGAGAATTAAATGAGAAATAATTTTAATTTACCTCAATTTATTCTTGTGAACACTATGGCTAGATCGGATTATTTTTATGAATACTCTCAGTAGGAATTATTATTGTAGAATCCCTAAAAGTAGAGATTATTTTTGTGAATTTTGCCAAAAATAAAAGTTGTTGAGATTTTCAATATATTAGTGAAATGTTGTAAATAACATTTTTTTCAAAAAAAGAAACGTGACATTTATTTTGGGACAACTCAAAAAAAAATAAGACATGTAAAATGGGACGGAGGGAGTAATTTATATTCAATCTCTACCCCAACCCCACCACACACCTATGACCTACCCAGGCACCGCAGAAAAATCATGACAAACTTATTGGTTTATTATAACTAAACAAAAATTTATTATACCTAAACTTTTTTTAAATTATCTAAAAAAAGTCATTAGAAAAAATCTAACGATCATAGTGACATATTCCATAACAACATTAACAATGTAATATCACATTTTCAAATTTCTAATCTTTATTAATCACATTTTTATTCATATATAAACCGGGCTATGACTTGAACAAGAATCAGGATCTCAGTCAAGGGAGGGTGTAATGGTGTATAGAACAGGTGCACAAAATTTGAGATTCTAGCCCCAATTAGGCATGGACTTGGGGCAGGCCTCACTGGGCTTTTTGTGGTTTCTTGAGGCCCGAAACCGGCCCGGGTAGCTACCTGGTACGGGTCGGACCCGGAACGGGTCAGGCCGGTTGAACCGATTTTTTTTTATTTTCTAATTACTTCCTACCCCCACCCCCACCCCAAACCCCTCCAAAACACCCAGCCCAACTCATTTACCTCCCAAAGATTGTGCAAAAAAAATGGCTAGAGACCCGAGTCTTGATGGGTTTTCGACCTTTTGGCTTTAACGTTATATAGCTGGGGAAGAGACAGGAGTTTAAAAAACTTACTACTCCCTTCATCCCTTAAAACTTTGACATCTTTTCTTGTTGGGACGTCCCAAAAAACTTTGACACTTTCCATTTTAATCAATTATTTTGTGGTTTCTATTATTTTTCTCTGCACAAACCTCAACCATACAGTTTTTACTTTATTATTCTCCGTGTCGGTCAACTTTGGCAAAATTTTAAGGGACGGTAGTATAAAATAGAGAGAATTCCATAAATAGGAGTAAAAAAGTTTTGAAATTCCAAAATAGGAGTATCATGTTTTTTATTCCTTGAATAGGAGTAAATTTCTGCCAAGTTTGGCATTACTAGGCTTTAAAACATGGCATTTTTTCAAACTCTGCAGATTACTTCTATTCAGGGAATAAAAAACATGATACTCCTATTTTGGAATTTCAAAACGTTTTTGCTCCTATTTAGAGCAATTTCTATATAAAATAGTACGTAGTATCAAACAAATACATTTCATTCTTTTCATTATTTTCCTACACTTACAAGTTACAATCTTACATTACAATCTTAAATCTAAGATCAAATAGTTATGATCATTCTAGCATTAGTTTAATGTGTTCTTTTAGCTGAAACCATCCAAGTACAAAGAACAAGATCAGCATTTTTGAGCTGAAAACAAGATGAAGGATCCTTGAACTTTCTTCAAAAAATTGACAAGACCACATGATCTGCACAAGTCTTCAATCTCCTCCTCCGTAAGGTAGCTGTAGCTTTCCATAGCACTCTGTTACCAATTTAACATTTAACTATATATTCATCAAATGTTACAGATATCACAATATTTCCACCAAAGTATCTCCTAATCATCAGGCTTAGCTTGGTGATGAAAAAAACTCGGTAAATCACTAAAAGCCATGCAGGTCGATGACGATGGCATGCATAGTGCATACCTGATCGGCTCATCCGTCCAAAAAAATTACACTAATCATTCTTTGTTAATGATTTTTTCCATCATTTGCAATGGAGACAAAGATTCATTATTTTTTGACTTGAGATTATGATGGAATAAATTAAAATGGCACACTAAACTGTGTGTGCTTCTTTATTATGAAGCAGTGGTCAGTCCATGCAATTTTGGACGCGATTTTCACGATGAGTCATCCGGAAACAGTCTCTCTGTGCTTTAGTACAGGGGTAAGACTGCGTACATCCGACCCCCGTACCCCACCGTAGGTGGGAGCCTTTGCGGCACTGGGGTAAATGAAAATGATGATGATTCTTTGTTAATGATGATTGCTTATTGTTGTCATTTCTAGATGCATAAAACATAGCTGAGCTCAACAGGCTGGAAGATGAGCACTCACCTGTGTCTGCATTAATGCTCTTAATATAGCAGGAGTAGATTGACTGGCTCGTAGGAAAGTAGTCCCCACAAATACGCCCTTACTACGCAAGATACGGCTGATTTCTGCCATCTGTCACAAAATTTTGATTAGATAAAATCGAAGTTTTAAAAATTGTTGGGATTGGAAAAGTTATCTGTTCTTCACAAAATAGAATTGCAGAAGTCAAGCTCACTCAACTAAAAGCAAAACCCTTTGATAGCGTCTCCCTAGTCCCTAGAATATATGATAGATGACCTGTTTACTTCGCCTAAAAATATGATGTGGTCTACAGAAGATCAAGAAAGCAGAACCACCCAAGTCACCAAATGTTCCCCCACATTGGGAAAAATATCCCTTCTTTTAAGATCCATTTGTTTCAAGGAAGATACAACAACATCCAAGCCTTAATCCCAAAAAAGTTTGGGATCGACTAACAAGAATCAACATATGAAATCGGAATTAAAATGATACAAAGAGCATTTGTTTCAAGGAAGATAACTTGTAAAATACGTTCTCAGAGGAAAACGTTTCCGTGGAATATCTTTTGCATTGGAATAACTTGTTCAAGATACAGTTACTAAAAAAATCAAGAACGTACTGCATTTGACGGTGATGGCCAGCAATGCAATGCTGCACCAGCATGAACAGCATCAACTGATCCAGAAGAAAAGGGCAATCTTGAAACATCTGCCCTCACTAGTGCAAGATTTCTGCATATTTAGAGAGATAAAAATGGAATCTTTTTTTTTGTTAAAGTATCTTAAATCAGATAAAGTATCTTAAAAGATGGAACATATTCTGGCTCTTATATATGTTGATGACAACTTGTTTGTTGGGTTTATTTATACTCCATATTAATTACTTTGTCTCATATAATTTTAAAAAAATTATGACACATAGAAATATGACTTCAATACCAAGTGACCATAGTGTAAATTTGGGAGACTAGTGACAACAGACGATGGTGATGTTCAATTTACATTCTATTGACCATGCTAATATTTTCGCAGTAACTGTAGTCGTCATGCACCCATATTCATGTCAATAAGTTTTTATTTTAGTAAAATTATAGGAAAACACCTTAATTTCAAAGTAATTCAGGAGAACCCAATGATTTAATAAGAGTTTATAAACTTTTAGTGGCTGAAAGTACATACGAGCTTAGCATACTGGCATCACTTTTGATGAAGTCGTAGCATTGGCGCAGCATGTTTTCAGAAAAATCAAGTGCAATGACTCTTGAGTAGACGCCTGATTTTGCAAATTTCCGTGAGAACAATCCAGTGCCACAGCTTAAATCTACAAGAACGCCGCCTTGAGCTACTCTAAAGTACTCCTGAGCCATTTGAAACTGCAAAAAGCCCACACAGATCGATATATCGTTGAAGAGAAATAATGCTATAATGCCTCATTTGGTACTCAAAGATGGCTTGATCAGCTACGGGGAGAACAAGTAAGCTTTCTAATTGTTTGTTTTTATTAAATGAATGTTACACCAAATGCCATTCCTGACATAAACTCAGGAAGCCCCTTTAGCCAAATAGACCATCCCAGAGGAGCCCCAAATAGACTCTGTGGAGATGGCATGTGATAGAGTATATCTAGAGAGAAGTGAGAGCTAGAGACAGAAGTGCAATAATATGCTTCAATAGAATGATTTTGTAACCCCTATAACTACTCCCAAGGGGAGTATTTATAGAGAAAATTAGGGTTGGGCTCCCAAGCCTTGGGCTTGGGAGGCCCATTTACAACTGGACCGCTACTGGGCCGAATACAAGGCCACTAATGGGCTGTATAAATGAATAAGTATAAAATCCGATTCTGTGAGGTCTTCGTGGCCGACGAGGGCGTGGCCGACGAGGGCACGGCCGACGAGGGCACGGCCGACGAGGGCACCCGGGTTCCTTGGACTCAGGACCATAATCCGAGTTGGCCCCTTTTCGGCCGACGGGGGCGTCTTGGCCGACGAGGGCGCCACTCTGTTGTCTTGTGCTTTCTGTTCTTCCGAGTATGTGGGTCCGGGGGCTCAGACCCATATACTCCATCAGGAGTCCCCCACTCTCTAAGCTGAGACGTAGACGAAGTGAAGGAGAGTAGATTCCTGTGCTTTAGTGCTTTTGGCCGATGCGTGCATCCCCGGCGTTCAGCCGTTGCGGCGCTGGCGTTGTTCCCTCTTTGGTGATCCTGTTCTGTGCTTTGGCCGTTACCTGTCCCTCGCTGTGGGCGGGGAGGCCGTTGTTTCCTTAAGGTGTTCATTTGAGGACGATAAGTGTCTTGTTTCAATGGCGGCCGTTGAAAGGCACGTTTCGCTTGGGCGTTGATGGTTGAAGTTTGTGTTTGGGCCGATGAGGCCACTGAAGTTGATCCTTGCTTCGAGGACGATGGCGTCCTTTCCTTTGGGTGGCCGATGAGGGTGCTCGTGCACTCCTTTTGGCCGTTGTTGATGATGTCATGTGCCTCTGGCCGATGTGTCCATTGTGATGCGTGGACGATGTGGCCATGCTTTGTGGTTACATTCATGTTATTTGCATTGTTGCTTTTTGTTTCGTTGAGGCCGATGTAGTCCCCCAGTCCCCCACTGCTTCAGGCCGAAGAGTGTGAGGGGTGAAGGAGTTGCTTGAGTCCCTGGCCGAAGCGGCCTCGCCGTAGTCCCCCTGAATCCAACCCTCATGGCGATTTTCTGGCCAAGGTAACCCTGTGGGAGAACCCTTGTGCGCAGATCGCTTGTAGAGAGTTATCATCAAGGGTTAGTACGAGGAGCCGATGGCTGTGGGCTCTTTGTTCATTTGTTCTGTGGCCGTTACGTTCCTGGTCGTTGCGATCTTGGTAAGCAAATGGGACGTTATGGGCGCTTGCTGGTACTTGTGAAGCCGGCGAGCGTGTAGGCCGTAGAGTCTGATTTGCCGGTGGGCCGTTGATATAGGTTGGGCCTGGCCCGTTGGTGACGTGGTGGCCTCCCATTGGTGACCGCTGATGTGGCCATTGGGAAGGTGCCACGTGTAGTGACCGTTGGGTGGGGGGGTTCTATAAATACCCCCTCCCCTCCGACGAGAAACCACATTTGCATTCTGAATTGTCGAAGTGCTGGCCATTTTTCTAGAGAGAAACTCCCAAGCTTGTTCTTCGTGTTCGTCGTTGTTCAAGGTTAGTGTTCATCGCCATCTTCTGTACTTTGTGCATACTTTGCTTCCTAGGCTTGTGATCTAGTGTTAGGCGTTTGAACACCCTTAGATCCTAAGTTACCTCCCTTAGGCTCGTAGTAGTTGTGATGAAGAGCTTGAACGAAGACTACTACCCTTACGACGACCAGCCCTCCACGAGGTCACTTAACTATGAGGTGCTCGAGGAGTTCGAGGAGGAGATACAACATTTGAGTCCTTACAAGTCCGAAGAGCTGATGGACGACGAGGTCGAGGACGAGGAGTCCGCCTCTTCTTCAAGGGGTGAGGACGCAGGTGCGTCCCGAGTGGTGGACGGGGCGTCCACTTCTGCTGTCATTCCGTGCCCGAGGCCGGTGTCTGCCGTGAAGGGAGCAGCTAAACCGAAGAGGGTGAGGAGGCCGAAGAATGGGTCGGGCCTCTCCTATCTGGACCTCACCAACATATTCCTGATAAAGCCGGAGAGCAGTGCGGCCGACTATCTTGTTGCCCAGATGTATGTGGGGCCGTTCGGGCGGGTTAGGGCACCCAGGCCGACGGACCATGTTCTTCTTCCGCCCCCGGGATACTTTGGAGTATACCCGATGAGTTTTGCTAAGGGGTTGAGGTTCCCCCTTCACCCTTTCATCACTGAGTACCTAGACATGGTAGGGCTTCCTCCGGCCTTGCTGACGCCGAACAGCTACTCCTTGATGGTGGGGTTTTTGCTCCGGTGTGAGGAGCTAGGCTACAGGCCGACAACGGCCCTCTTCATGAATCTGTACCAGATCGGCCGAGGAAGCCACAAGAACTGTGCGGCCTACGCTACTCTTCAACAGCTACCGAAGAAGAGGAGCTTCACGGACTTGCCTTCGTCCATTCATGGGTGGAAGAGCAAGTTTGTTTTCGTATCCCTGGGTGAGAGTGGCACCGAGTTCCCCTCTCTCGGCCATACCGGGAGGTTCAATCTCCATGACCCGCCGAAGAGCTCTATCTTGGACGCTCAGGTGGAGGCTTTCCTGGAAGGGGGGCCGAGAAGCGTGAAGGATTACGTTACTGAATACAAGATGACCGCCCTCGGCTTCTTCAGATACCACCTGTATGGAGATAAGGAGGATGACCTCCAACTCTGGCCGAGGATGACCACCACCTTTGAAGAGGCCGACGGCCCGGATTTGGGCATTCCTGCTGAGGCCAATGGTAATTCTTTCTTCGGCTTTCTGTCTTTATGTTTTGTTCCTTTGCCTTACTAATCTGTTTGTGTTTTTCCTTTGTAGACTTTGCGATGGATCGTCGTTCCATAATGGCTATTGCCAAGGCCAAAGCGGCCGAGGAGTTGGCTGCTAAGGCGGCCGAGGCGGCCAGACGTGCCGCGGCCGATGGGAGCGGGGCTAGTACTGGTGCGGCCCCAAAGCCTGCTCCATCGAAGTAGAAAAGGCCGGCCACTGACGGCCAGAAAAAGTTAACTGAGGCCGGCCTGAGCGTCTCTAAGAAGACGAAGAGGGCTCCTTCCCCTTCTCCGGCTACTGAGACCGGTACTCTGGCTGTCCCCAGCGTGGACGATAGTGGTCCTGTCGTGGACCTTACCGCTGCTGGCGATGCTGCTCCATCACTACCTCTCGTCCAGGAGCCACGGACGAAGAGGGCCGGCAAAGAGATTGCCAGTGCCACCTACCAGAAGATGGTAGAATACCCCGTCGGCAGGGGTGTCTTCGATGACGTCGTCCTTGGCCACGACGTCCTGGCACAGGCCATGCCGGCCAAGGATCGGGCTTACTTGAGGAAGCTCGGGGACGTGAATATTTATGAGGGCGGCATGGACCTCCTCGTCCAAGTAAGTTACCTTCCTTATGCGTTGTCTTTCTCGTCGTCTGTGTAAAACCATTTGCCTGACTTTTGTTTCCCTTGTTTCTGCAGAGTGCCTTCATGCTAATGGAGAGCCACAAGAGGCAATACCGAGAGATAGCTCGCTTGAAGGAGCTGGAGCAGAAGGCCGCCTCGGCCGACGAGGCGGTTGCTTGCCTGGACCGGCTCCGGGAAGATGCCAGGGCGTTGCAGGCCAGGGCCGATGAAGCCGCCGCAGCCAGGGACGATGCCCTGGCCAAGCTCGAGGAGAGCAAAAGGGAGCTCGAGGAGTCCCAAAGGGCCCTGGAGGCCGAGCGGCGCAAGAGCGAGGAGGCCGTCAAGGCGAAGGCGGAGGCCGAGGCCGCCGTTGTGAGGGCTGCTGACGAGGCCGTCGAGAAATTCCTGGCCGAGGGGTGGAAGGCCGATGAGAGGCTCCCCTGGTGCTACGAGGTGGTGGCCGCCAGGCTTGAGAGTTGGGGGATGAACTCCCCCGCGGGCCAGGAGTATTTCAGCCGAGAGATGTACGTGTATTATAACCTTGGCCAGGAGCGGATGCAAAGGCTCCTGTGTCGGCGGCTCTCTCGTGCTTTGAAAGCCATGAACTATACGTCTGGGTGGGCTAGACGGAACCTGAAGCTGCTGAAGCTGATGAAGGATCCAGAAGAGCAGGCAAAGCTTCCGTTGTCGGAGCGGGAGTCCCCAATTGAAAGCTCCGGCCTTGGCGAGCCGGATTACACCGAGTTTGATTTTTTGGACGATGCCACAAGTGCTGCAGCCACCGCCGGCCAGGAGGCTGAGGCCGAAGAGGGAGCAGACGAGGCCGAAGAACCAGCCGCAGATGGAGGTGCTCCAGAGGCTTGATCGGCTACTCCTTTGTAGTTAGTTTTCATTTTTGCCCAAATGATGTAACGGCCGAAGAGCCCACCTTTGTACTGAATTTAATATATATGAAAATATTTTGCTGTCCTGATCGGCTTTGAATTCCTTGCATGCGTGTTTGCTATTTGTTATTTTAATTCCGAAATTTGTCTAAGTGTCAAGGTCATAACTTGGGTGACCCGGGAGTGTCCGCTACGTCCGTGAGGTCGTCCACCCTGTCCGGTGGCCTGGTCGGCTTGTTTGTCGTTGCTTTACTACCATAACACTTAGGATTTTTTCAGAAAATTTCCTAAGTGTTTTGGGTTCACTTGGATGCCTTCTTCCCGGTCTGGTGGCTTGGTCGGCCTGACCGTGTTGATGTAGTATCATAACACTTAGGATCCTTTCGAAAAATTTCCTAAGTGTTTTTGGGTTCTTACAGTTGCTTCCTTGTGGCCTGGTGGCCTTGTCGGCCTGACCGGTGTTGATGCAGTATCATAACACTTAGGAA